AAAAAACTTTGCATCAACCTAAGCTAATCAGCAATAAACCACTGACCCATCGAATCAACCCGAAACCAAACCGAAAGAAAACTTAAGCACATCTTAAACCAAACACTAAGCACGCCAGAAATAACACCCGAAAAAATGCTAAATAAGCATTGCACGAACATTGAATAAATCCGGAGTAAACTTTAAGCTAACATTAAGCCCACTCAAACTAAACCCAAAAGCAATTGTAACTACGATTTCAAAGCGGTCTTGGAACACAACCCTAAACCAAATCTAAACAAAACCTTACACCAAACCTAAACCAACCCTGAATATATCTTAAAAGATAAGAAACATTCCAAAATACCTTCACCCAAGCCGAAACAAATCCCAAAGCAACCCTAACACCACGCTATTTGAACCAACCTTAAAAGTAAGCGGACTCCTAGCTAAACCGCAAACTAACCTTGAACAACATATTGCACCAACGCTAAATTCACGCCAAACAAGCGCTACACGAACACCATTTATAAACCAATTTTAAACCGACCTGGAAAAACTAACCCAACCCACGATACCGATACCTTTAACCAACCCCAAGCACACACCACAGCAGCCCCCAACAACACTTCTGGCTGAACCAGCCCCAGATTGCTGCTAGCTCCAAAAATTTCCGATTCCGGCCACACTAAAAGTTTCTAGCTCCACAATGCTTGACTTACCATCAGTTTCTTGCTCCGACATGCTGCAATTACAGTAGAGGTGGTTCCAAAATGTTGCAAATATTGTCGAAATGGCAGCTTCGACCGTTTAACAGTCTTTTTTCCCCTTGTCTCCCCTTGTGTCCTATTATTGTCTCCCATTGTCTCCCCACATGTGTGCCTGTGTTGGATGGTGTGTCCGCCTTCCCGAGGTCTTGTCTCCCCTTGTCTCCCCTTGTCTCGCCTTGTCTCCCGTTCTCTCTCACTGTCTCTCCGCATGCGTGCCCGTGTTTGGATGGTGTGTCCCTTTGTCTCCCGTTGTCCCCCTCACATGTGTGCCTGTGTTGGGTTCACGAGGCCTTGTCCCCCCTTGCCTCCCATTGTCTCCCATGGTCTCCCCGCATGTGTGCTTGTGTTGGATGGTGTGTCCGCCTTCTCGAGGTCTTGTCTGGCATTGTCTTCCTTCTTGTCTCCCTTTGTCGGATAGTATGCGCGCCTTCCCGAGGTCTTCTCTCCCTTTGTCTCCCCTTGTCTCCCGTTGTGTCCCATTCTCTCGGCACATGGGCGCCTGTGTTGGAAGGTGGTCTTCTCTCCCCTTGTCCCCACATATGTGTGCCTGTGTTGGATGGTGTCTCCGCCTTCCCAAGGTCTTGTCTCCCCTTGTGTCCCTTCGTGTTTCCCTTTGTTGGAAGGTGTGTCCGCCTTCCCCCTTGTCTCCCCTTGTCTCCCATTGCCTCCCTTCTTGTTTCCCTTTGTTGGATGGTGTGTCCGCATTCCCGAGGCCTCGTCTCCCTTGTTTCCCTTGTCTCCCAGCTTGTCTCCCAGCTTGTCTCCCAGCTTGTCTCCCAGCTTGTCTCCCAGCTTGTCTCCCAGCTTGTCTCCCAGCTTGTCTCCCTTCTTGTCTCCCTTCTTGTTTCCGCTTGTTGGATGGTGTGTCCGCCTTCCCCCTTGTCTCCCCTTGTCTCCCCTTGTCTCCCCTCGTCTCCCCTTGTCTCCCCTTGTCTCCCCTTGTCTCCCCTTGTCTCCCCTTGTTTCCCCTTCTTTCCCCTTGTCTCCCTTCTTGTTTCCCTTTGTTGGATGGTGTGTGCGCCTTCCCCCTTGCCTCCCCTTGCCTCCCCTTGCATCCCCTTGTCTCCCCTTGTCTCCCTTTGTCTCCCTTCTTGTTTCCCTTTGTTGGATGGTGTGTCTTCCCGAGGCCTTGTCTCCCTTGTCTCCCAGCTTGTCTCCCAGCTTGTCTCCCAGCTTGTCTCCCAGCTTGTCTCCCCAAGTCTCCCAGCTAAAATTATCGCATGCCGAGAATTGCGCAGACTCTAAAGTTCACATAGCTCCGGGATTGAGGATGATGTCATCTTTCACTTTCGTCCTTCGATGTTTTCAACACATCCAATTTGACAGTCCTATGGTGCTTGATTCGAGCATTTGGATCCAAATAGTTGCACCCCCATCGGATGTTTCCTTCATCGTTTTTTGGCATGTAGCGTTGCAACAAAGCAAACGAAGCTGAACAAAATAAACGTATATAAAGTGGTCTCCGGCACTTATTGCAGACATTTTCCTGTCGGTGCTATTTCATGTGTTTGACCCTGTTCCCCACATCACTTCTTGAATCCAGCCACTGTTTGGGGTCTACGGTGGTGTAATTTATGTACGAATTGCTGGATGGAGGCAAAGGCGTCGGAAATTGTCTACGTTTAAATGTCTAAATGCATCATCAATTACATAAACTTTTCCCCTGCCAGCGTACTCTGATGGGGTCTTCAGCCCAGAAAAGCTCCGCTGTGCACTGGTGCTGGCACCGGGTCAGGTTCAACGAGGTTCCGGAGAAGATTCCGAAGGTTCTGTAGGTGAAGGTCTGGAGGCTTTGGAGCAGAGCCAGGTCAGGTTGAACAGGATTTCGGTTCTGGAGACGGTCTGGGAAGCTTTGGTGCAGAGCCAGGTCAGGTTCAACGGGGTTCCGGAGAAGGTCTGGCAGGCTTTGGTGCAGAGCCAGGTCAGGTTCAACAGGGTTACGAAGCAGGTTCCGGAGAAGGTTTTGGAGAGGCTTTGGTGCAGAGCCAGGTCAGGTTCAACGGGGTTCCAGGGAAGGTTTGGCAGGCTTTGGTGCAGAGCCAGGTCAGGTTCAACAGGGCTACGAAGAAGGTTCCGGAGAAGGTCTGGGAGGTTTTGGTGTAGAGCCAGATCAGGTTCAACAGGGTTCCGAAGAAGGTTGCGGAGAAGGTCTGGGAGGCTTTGGTGTGGAGCCAGGTCAAGTTCAACAGGCTTCGGAAGAAGGTTTTGGAGAGGCTTTGGTGCAGAGCCAGGTCAGGTTGAACAGGATTTCGGTTCCGGAGAGGGGTCTGGGAGGCTTTGGTGCAGAGCCAGGTCAGGTTCAACAGGGTTCCGGAGAAGGTTTGGCAGGCTTTGGTGCAGAGCCAGGTTAGGTTCAACGGGATTCCAGGGAAGGTCTGGCAGGCTTTGGTGCAGATCCAGGTTCAACAGAAAATGCCGCGGTCATTTTAGTCACGGAACCTCAGCTGAGGTGTTTCCAGCGCTTGGCTTCGCAGCACGTTTCAGAAAGATTTGTAAAAAATATAACGTTGTGGCTGTTGCGGATGCCGCCGAAGTTTTTTTTCAAGAAAAAAAATAAATGAGTATATATATATATATCTCTCTCTCTCTCTGTGTGTGTGTGTTAAAGTATGTAGGAGTTTTTTCACAGAGGATGATGAGGCCTCGCGACCTTGTTCCACATCCCCAAGAGTGGCAGGTGGTGCACCGCACTGAAGGCAGTCCTGCTCCAGTTGCATCGGGTGCAAATTGCCAGGCACGGCAGGGCCCAGCCTGCAGTGGGGGGCTGTTGTGTAGACACTAAAAGCAGACAGGTTTGGCATCACCATGGTTTTCGGGCATGAATGCCACACCTTGAATCCCTTATCCTGGAGTCTTCATCATGGGCCTTTCAATCCAAAAAGGACCCCTGCACAAAACGGCTTCAAACATCTTCAGGCAGAATCACAAAACGTTTAAACAAGTCACACAATCACCTTCTTACATTGCCTGTCCGGGGCTGCGGTGGAGCCGGCACCTGCGGCTCCTGTGAATCATTTTGCTTTGAGGTTCAGAACGAGCAACTTATGCAGTACGGAACCAAAATGTTTCTCACTGCGCTTGGATATTTGAAATATGTGGAGGTATTTCGAGTGCTTCTCCATTTAGGCAACAGTTATGCCACGGCCGTTTGCAATGCCCAGGTGCATGAAAGCATCTTCTGAGGCATCCCAATGCCAGTCCAACTCTTGGCTTTTGAAACCATATGTCTAACAGTCCAACCGGGTCCAACCGCCTCACCATGCCTCACCCATTTGCACCAAATTCATCTTGACTCAGACCATCTCAGACCGTCATCACTTCAGGTTCTACTTGGACGCCTTGAAGGCGTGCCAGCAGCAGCAGTAAGCTGTGGCTGGCAACTTATTGCTTGGAGACAGCACCACTTCCCCAGGACTTCCACATTTCTGCTGGTGCATCTCATGCTGAGGTCTTCATCACAGGGCATTGGGACAGGCCCTTGTGATAGTTTCCAGGGTTTGTTGCACACAATATTATTGACGGACAAGGATGTTTCTTATTTGAAAATGCAGCCTGGGTGACGTGGGACAAGCAGTTCTCAATCTACTTAAATTCCATAAATTTGCGTGCAACTGGCTCAGTTTTGATTGGCAGGCTGAGTGCATTAAGTGATATTGAACATTGATGACATGAATGTTACAAGTTACAACAATGATAATGATGTAAACAATGTAGACATATGACGACACATCTAGGCACTGTAGAACAAGTCCATGAAAGGTGCACTTCTTGACTCAAGTTGTGCCATAAACATCAGCCTTGTTGCCACCACCAGCGACCAGCAAAAGCTTCGGCTCCGTGTCACCTGCGTGTGGTGCTCCGTGCTGGAACCTTTGAACAGTTCGCGTGTACACGGACAGTTCGCCTATAGAAAAATGTCATGCTGGCAGTTTTCCCATGTTTCGCCATGTTTTATGCCACGTTCTGCCTTTTGAGTAGCATCAACGTGAGTCAACATGCTTGGAGTAGGAAGTTGAAAAGTGGAGCAACTGGCAGCAAGTGGCAAAGCACATTGCCTACGCCGTGTCCTGCAAGGGTTCCACCGGGCGGGCAAACGAGTCTAAATGTTACAGTACCTAAATTCGACTTGGTTCTCGCAAACAAATTGCAAACCGTAGCAAACCGTAGAGGGTGAAACTTTGTGACATTTTTTGACAGTGGGTCTTGAACAAGTTGAATCGACTCAGCATTCATTCCAAACATGCACATCAGCCTTTGCCCGATGGCTTCAAGAAAAGAAGCCCAATCACCAATGTAGCCAGAATTGCTATGCCAGCTTGCGGGGACTCAAAGGAGCCATGGGGTGGAATCCACACTTCTGAATCAAGTCTCTGGAAGACGGTGGAGCTGGATGGATCAGCACTTCTTGCCTAGGATAAGGATGTATTAGGATACACACACACACATACACACATACACACATACATACATACATACATACATACAGACACACACACATACATACATACATACATACATACATACATACATACATACATACATACATACAGACAGACAGACAGACAGACAGACAGACAGACAGACATACATACATACATACATACATACATACATACACACACATATATATAATATAATATATATATATATTTTGTATTTGTTTATATTAGGATGGAGTAGGAACGACACCAACCTTTCAATTGCAGGAGTCAAGCTCATGTAGATCAGAGAAGACCGTGAAGACCGACAAGACCTGGATCGTTCAGCACATAGCACCTCTGCGAGAGCAGCGTGCAGATGGACCGTTGGAGTTGCGTCCTGAAACTGCGGAAACTGCTGGCCACTCCAAATCTTCATGGGACCCGCCCAATCTGGCAGCCTATCTACAGCACAGGCCAGAGCTGAAAGAAGAAAACTACCTCAGAGAAACTCGGCAAGTATTTTGAGCATTGTAGAGCATTGTGCGCCGCAAGACTCTCCGGGGCTTAGGTCATGGCTACACAGGGTAGGGCTATACGCACATATTTCATATCTCTTTCCTTTCTCAATACTGTTGCGAGTCAAAGCATGGGCAGGACAATCAGCGGTTGCCAAACAGACCACCCAGATTTGTATTCCGATTTCATCCGATTTCATCCGATTTCATCCGATTTTCATTCTTAGCCCGGAGATGTCTAAGAGATGTCCAAAGCCGAGGAACGAACGATGCAAAGAGGTCCAGCGCCTCGCCTCGGCCACTCGGTGCAGCACGTCATCGACACAGTTCGCGCCACCCGTGCGCGGCGGGAGGCAGGTGCTGCGTCTGCCGATGCCAATGGCAAGGATGAAGCCAAGGACAGGGACGAGGAAGTCTGTCATTCCCAAAAACACATCCATAGGATCCTGGCACATAGATGTGAAAGTTACAGTATACAGTATCCCTGATGTTTTCCATGCATGAGGAGAACTTATAATTAAACCCAAAGTAAGTTGCCATGAACTGCCAACAGCTGCCAATATCACGGGGGCTTTGCCAATGTGCCAATGTTGGATATCGTTTTGCATACTCGTATGATGACCCTGTTTAACAAAACGCATTCTGGCAGGATCGTGAAGGCTCGCCAAGAGGAAGCCCAAGATCCCCAAGGTTGCCCTATGCACCAAGATCTCCGAGGCGAAGCACCTTGTTGGATCAGTTGCTTCAACAGCAGGTCCTGGGCAAGTCTTCACGAAGCCCAGGAAGCCCAGGAAGCCCAGGAAGCCCAGGAGGCGGAAGCGCTGGATGCAATGGTGGGTACAGTGGGTACCCAATTCCAAATGCACCAGGAACACTAGAAGCACCACTTCCCTCTACCTCCAGTCTCAGCATACCTGTGTTGCATCGAAGTGGCCGTGGGATGGCCCATCTTCTAGGGCGGCCTCTGGAGGTGGTGCAGGAAGAGTTTGAGGGCTTTTCGGAATCTGTGGGCTCAAGGTCCAGACCGTCCAGACCTGTCACAATTCATTCTACTCCCAGAGTTGCAGATCTGCCTGCCAAAGTTAAATGGGAAACTCTGCTCGCAAGTCGCGAGGCGCGACAGACTGCCGGATGTCCAACAACATATTTGCTGAAGGACCGATTCAAGACATGTAAAATCTCCAGCAGCATCATGGCTTCGCGCTTCTCTGAACCCAGCGATCCGGGGCTATCCGACTTAATGCTGCAAGAGTGTACGTGGTGTCGTGCGGCCTTACCAGCAACGGCAGCCAGATCTGAGCAGGGGGTTGTTCAGTGTCCCAGCTGCCATCGGAGCTTTGATGGCAGAAAGGCAAAAGTGAGCATGTTTGGTGGTGAGGGCCTTCTATAGTGACTTTGCAAGGACAAAGCTTCCTTGCCCAGAGTTCCTCCAAGTGTTCAACATGTTGCAGAGCATCATCGAAAAGGACAGACCGAGAACAATCTTCGAGATATCTTTTAGCTTCCAGTTTTTGCTTCAAAATACCATAAAGGATTGAAAGAATACATTTGAGAAATAGGCAGGCCTTGAATTTAAACGGCGTATAGTGGTCAACATGAATCATCTCACTCTGCCCCCTTACGTAAGTAATCGAAGGAAGTTTATGGACAGATGAAGCAGCAGAGGTGGGAACAGCCAGAGAAGAGAAAGAGTCAGAAGAGAAAGAGTCAGCAGACAGACGACCAAGGTGCGCGAAAAGATAGAAAAATCGGGAAACACTGTGTTTTTCCAATATTTTGTGGCTCTGAGTCACTGAGAGATGAAAAAATGCACGCGGTTGTGGCGCGAAGCACATTTTGAAGTCAACATGTTTTTACCACATGTTTGGACCACTTTTGGATGTTCAAGCGTCGTTTTGTGGAGAAAATTCCGTATCAGAAACCATCCACTCAAATCAGCGTCACAAAGCAGCATCCTGAATCAACATCCAAAGGTCCGGATCAGCGTCGCCGAAGCAGCATCAAAGACGATCTCGGATCAACATCGTGGATAAAAGGTTGGGATGGTTGGGATGGTCGGGATGGTGGGGATGAGGGCTTCGTTCGGGTTTCTTTGGGGTTTCTTTAGTGTTTCTCTATTTACGGTTTCTTTGTCTTTAGGGTTTCTTTAGGGATGGTCGGGATGGTCGGGATGGTCGGGATGGTCGGGATGGTCGGGATGGTCGGGGGTAATTAGTCCGCAAGGTCCCGATCCAACCCATGTAGATTCCGATCCAGTCGTTGTGGTTGATGCAGCCATTCCAAAACATCCTTTTGGTCCAGCAGTGTCCTATCTTTGAAACTTCTGCCACCGCCTTGTGCGGTCCTACTGGTATCAGTTGATGACAGCCGACGAGTGCCGTAGCTCGGGCTCTATATGTGGAGTGTGCCAAGCCAGCTTCCAGCGCATTCCAGTTGCATGGCACGGGATCTTAGTGTGGGATGGTGCGGGATGGTGCGGGTTGCTGGTGAAAACTGTGGAAACCTGGAAACCCTGATCATGGAGGTGCCAAAAAATGGAGTTTCGGGTGCAGCATGGAAGTCCTGATCTATGAGCAGACGTTGACAAAACAGCATGTTGTAGCGCGTTCTCTTTGCTTTGGGCTCAGACTCATAGTAATGGACGTTGTTCAATCTTTTCGGGATATGATTCGGGATGCTGCTGGCACGCGACTTTCTTGAAACTTGGCATGGGCTGGCCAAGAGTCAGTGTCGTTGTGCTTGCATATGTGTAGCTAGCAACTGGCGGCGTAGCGGTGCTCTAATTATTATGACGATTGTTGGCACGCTGGAGAAAGGTGGATTTTTAACTGCTCAGGCCGAACAGTGACTATTTGTTCGTGCAATGCATGAACTAAGGCACCCTTGTGCTGGAGTCTATCTTGTGCGCTTTCTATCTAGCCTTGGACGCGTGCAGTGGCTGGCAAGTAGTACACGTTTGAGCTGCATGATGCTGCAGCATGAGCTTCTAGTCTGTGGCACTCAGGTGTTTGAAGTTCTGAAGTTTCTGGCGCCCAGGTGTTTTTCATGCGTGCTGTCTTGCATCAGCTTACCTCTTGCAGCCGGTTCCCTGCTTTTTTCAGGTTGGCGCCTCAGCTTTTCTACCGTGCAAAAAGTGATGCAACTCCCTTTGAACTCCCTTTGGACTCTGCCAGTTTCACAGGTCTTCATCTCGACTCGTTTTGACGGCTCCATATGCTGCTAAGCTTCATCCTGGCAGGTCTTAGTCGCCTTGGCCGCCTTGGCCCCAGGAAGTTGGAGAAAGCGGCATCCCAGTCGCCCCTGGAGGGCGCACCGCTGGCAGAGCCTAACATTGAAGCAGCAAAGCCGCAAGGCAAGAGATGACAAGTCCAAGAGGTCCAAGAGGCAGAGTTTGGTTAAACCATCTTAAACCATGTTAAACCAATATAATTCAGTTATATTTAGTGAATATCTCGTCAAACCTTCATGTCATGATGTCAATGGAACATGGCGAATGGTGGCAAGCAAGTATCTGAAGCGTCACACCTGGACGGTCCTTGTGCACAGGCTTGGTGCAAGACCAGTTCCGAATCTGCTCCAATCCATCAGGCAGCCTGCACCACACAAGCCACCCATAGTTTGCAATCTTTGGTGATGCAGAGCCATTTGTGTACAATTTTTGATGCTATTGAGTGCGTACAGTACCCAGGCAATCCCGGCATATAAAATGGCTAAATCGTCATAGATGGTCCCTTTCTTGTCAGCGCGCTGAATTCATCCTTTCAGGTAGCCAATGCAGCGGTAGCCTGGGGATGGCGGCTCAGCTGACATCTGATCCTATCTCACCAAGGGCACACAAAGATACACAATGTGCTGCACTTCCTTTCAACGAATGATTTGAGGAACTTGCTGAGTGATTTTTGAGTCCAAGAGTCCCAAACAGCGCAGATTGGCAGCATGGCTTGGTGGGGCAAAATGTTGATGAGGTGAAGCTGAACATTTATGATGTGTCGCACGAGTCGAGCCTCTTGGCCAGAGCGTTTCTCCACAGTTTTGGTCTCCTCCAAATAGTCCAAATAGGGTCAAGCACAGAAAATGACGAATGTGACTGATACGATATCGTCAGCGATTTACGCCTACAAGAATGTATTCACGCACATATATACACACAAATGACATGCTTATTAATGACATCCCGTGTGCACAGAAACATTTATGTATTTTGCGTCGATTTTGTACTCATTGATTCTTATTGCACCTTTTTGCCACATTTCCGTGGCCACGGTTTTGGACGCCAGCAATCTCGCCCAGACTTGTCTTGCTGGGGGGCTCCAAGGCATACAGAACCTCAACGTGTTCTTGGCACATCCGCTGTCACCTTTCAAGTTTGGTGGCGTTTTTCATGCTGGTGTGGAGATCGGAGGAGAGGAATGGTCCTTTGGCAACTCGGCTGGGTTAGATCACTGATGATTGCATTTTTGCCGGGGTGAGACTTTGTGGACTCTGCTTACTAGATCTTAACAGGATAGCTTGTGTGTGGTTGCTCAGAGCTCTTGACATAGTGCTTGCATGATTTAGATTGATTTAGGAGATTAGGAGACTCAGGAACAGGCTGTTGTTTGCCAATTTGGTGTTTTGACATGTTTGTGCGCTGGATGCTTGGTAGTGACTGGTAGTGAAGCCAACCCGTCCCGCGCCCTCAAAACGGACGGAATCTATTGACCTTGGAACGACACGTGTCATGGACCCTTGAATGACTGGTGTTTGAGGGTATGCACCCTCTGGCTCGGGTTTGCACTGCTCGCTACCACGAGAACATCCACAACATAACTTCAGAGCCACTTGGATTGTAAAGCCAAAGTGAACCATCGTGGACAAAGGTGAACAGTCACTGGCGTAGTGTCTTTTGCCTAAGACCCAAAGAGCTTCCTCTGTCGTCGGTCAACTTGTCCAGTTTGGTGATGACATTGATGTCGCTACTTGAATCTGACGTGTCTCCACCCAGGAAACGCTAGAGCTAGGGCCGACCACGATGACCAAAGCGGAGGTAGCCGCGCTTCTTGAGACGATGCTGGACGAGTGGCCTAGCAGGGTTTGGCAGAGTATGGCAGAGTATTGCCAGCTGAAAAAAATGTTCACCTTCAGTTTCAGGTGTGCAACGTGGACCATTGAGGTATCCTGGAAGCAGCTACCATCTGATCCGATGCAACTGCAATCACTTCGCATCCGATTTCCTCAAGCGTTTAGGCGCGTGCACTGAAGCTGCGCGTAGAGGATGGTTGAAGCCATTTGGCTATTGATGCCCCCGGGGGTCCTAATCTGGCTGGCAAAGCAAATCTGTGAATCAACCCTGACAAAGTCCCTGACAAAGTACTGTCACATGTCTAATTTGAACAATGCGCAGCCCTCAGCCCCCACATCTACACCTTCAGGTGTTGGGGAGCTTCCTGCTTGGGTTGAACGACTAGCCTGTGGCTTGCCTCCATGTCAGCTTTTCCCTTCGATGCGTCGGGCTGGAGTGGGGTCATTTGTTGGCCACATGTTGCAATGATATGCTATGCAAAATAGTGCAAGTTTCTCCACAGTTTAGCCACAATAGGATGAATCAAACCAAGTACTGAACACCCTGCGGTAAATTTGAACTTGGAGAACTCGAAGCATGAACAGTCCAAATGACAGGATACAGCAAGATATCAAACACATTTTAGTTTCCAGGTTAGAATTCCGCACGGCTGAACACGCACCGTGGGCATCCGTGGGCAAGGTAGATTCAACGTAGTTCGATTCAAGGTAGTTTCCTAATGTTTGCCAACGGGTTTCGACCGTTGAGGGATTGTTCAGCTGTTTCTGTAGTGGGGTTGTGAACTTGGAATATCCAATCCCCTTGCTTCGACACATTTTTTGCAATGGGATAGAAATGGAAGCTGAAGCCGCATTTGCGTTTGAGTGTTTTCCAAAGATGGCTGACATTTCAACTGTCGCACCAGTTTTTCATACCAAAAGCACCCAAAGGCCAAAGATGTCCAAAGCATAGCAAAGCCTTGCCCGCGACCCGCTGTCCAGAGAATGCGTCAAAGAATGCGTTTGGCCAAGGGATTGGTGAATCACTGCTCGAAGCATCAGAGGGCCTGGAGCGCATTCGTTGCGCCTCCCGGCTGCAGTCGGTTTTGTCGCAGAGATCTGAGATGGTGCGCCACTCTCAGTAGGCACCATTAGGCCTGCCATTAGGCACCACAAAGTCGTCAAGTGTCCAGAGGCGTGTGGTACTCGTATGTGGCAGATATGAATGCAACCTGCAGACAGTCAGATGCAATCAGGTTGTTGAAGATGCTGCAACCGTAGTGAGCCATTGATGGCATCGTCAGCACAGTACAGCCTGGCACTGAGTTCGTCAGAAGGTTTGCAGTTTGCGCTCTGCAATTACCCTCCTGACTACACTTCCTTTAGCGGAACTTGCACCAGGGGGTGATGTGTTTGCGAATCTTGACTGGAGCAGTGGTTTGTCAATCGTGCGCAGGATGTGAGTGCGACCTCACAGTTGCTTAGCCTCTGACCACCGCTGGGACAGAGCAAAGTTTCTTATGCTGCCAGCATCAGAAATCAACCCTGAGTTTCAGATGACATCAGATGACCTGACCTACATTGAGCCCATATATAAGACATACAGTGACATACAGTATAAACTATAAACTGTGTGACCTGGATGCCTGTTTTTTTAGACTCGGCGTCTGAATGATGCTGGATACCTTGGGATTCCTTGATGGCGGGCTCCAAACAGCTTCTGAGCCATGGCCGCCACAAATTCATGGCTTTCCCTGCTGAGGGTATCACAGAAGATGTGGTGCTGAGGGTATCACTTGTCCAGATGGGTCTCACGATGAGCACCTTTCTTTAAGCCTCAGTTGATCAGTTGATGGAGATTTCCTGAAGAGTTCTGCCTCCATGTCAGTGAAGGCATAACATGGCATAATGTGGCAAACAGGGCACACCTGGCACAACATGGCATAGGGTATGAATCTTGGAATCTCTCCTCGAAATCTCTGGAATGCCGTGGAGTGCTGCGGACATCAACAGATGTCCAGTTGCAATCATTTGCATCAACTTTTGTTTGTTTTTCGCTGCCAATTCTGGAGGGTTTGGCAAGCCTGTGCCATGAATGGGCCCCCGGCCCATGGGCCAGCTGTGTGGGAGGCACTTACCAAGGCGCTTTTTAAAGAATACCGCACTTGATCGCCTAGGGCCATGAAGTCGATCTCAACTAGATGTAATTTTTCTACTTGGGTCGCCTCAGTCCCAAGTTGCGACTCTTCAGATGGCTCAAGTTCAGAGATGTTCAAAGTTGTTCAAAGTTCAGAGCCTTATTTTGGATTCAGTTAGATATTGCGTATATTCCAAATGTCTTGAATCGGCTTTTGACATGCCTCCTGTGACCATGACAATGAGATGTTTGCACCGTTTGGATGTGCAGTTCTCGCATTTGCCGCATATTTTGCGGTGTTTGCACCATCATGCAGAAGAGCGGAACACCCGTAGCTTTTAGGCTTTTGGGGTTGTTGCACTGCAGCGTCAGGGTCCAGAACGCAGGGCCATTTCGAAGGCTCTGTTGTAAATATGTGCGATGATTGCTTCCGACGCAAGGAGAAAGTGGCGATTTGCTTGGTTTTTTCTTCTCTTTCTTCCACCTATTTGTGCCCTGCAGAAGCCTTCAAATTCTACTCTGGCTCGGCTAGTCCTGTCTTCAGGATTGCCTTTCACGACACCAGGACTCTTGCGTGGAATCATGGTAATGTTCTGTTTTCCCGACTGGCTGTGTCCGTTCGTGCTGGAATGGCGCTCATGTCATATCATGTCATATCAATTTGGCTCATGTCATATCACAAATTGTTTGAAAGCGTCAGGGCCGGTCAGGGTCGCCAATGGAGCGTTTAGTGCTGGCCTTGTTGTCCACAGCGCTAGCTGGGACGCCCATTGCGCTAGTCTTTGAGTCGCGACTGGGCTGTGCGCAGGTATTGCAGACGTTGGATTGCTGGCCTTCTCTGGCCTTCTTGTTTTTGTAGTTGAACCATGTTGAACCATGTTGAACCATGTTGAACCATGTTGAACCATGTTGAACCATGTTGAACCATGTTGAACCATGTTGAACCATGTTGAACCTTTCAAATGCGCAACACAAGTTGAGGAATGGGTACGTGGCGGATTTGGCCACGCATGTGGGTGAGAAGGTGCTGCAGCAAATCTGTTGTGAGCAGTCACTTTGAATCTCCAAACCTTCCACAATTTCCACAGTGCCTTCCCAGTCGTTTCACCCTCAATGGTTGACAGACATCGGAGATCATGCTTGGAATCAGCCACTTGTCATCTGCAGGTAGCTCTACGGCACTGCTCTTCATTTAAATGCGATGAGCTTCACAGCAGTGCCAGGACATGATACAACCTTGTTTGAAGTTTGAGGACACAAATGGGGCCACAAAAGTTCTGGAACAAATCAAAGTGCAAAGACGTCCAGTGACTTCAGGAGCGAGGTAGTGGCAGTTGTTGGTATGCCTCGAAACATTAGCATATTACAGCAGCTGCCGGGCTTGAAGCTTCTTCAAAGCTCTCACTATATGCGCCTTGGCGATTCAGTGGTCGTTTGAGATCAGCTACCCACAGGATCAGTGGTGACAGTTAGCAAGACCTCCCAAGCTGCCAGGTATGCTCGCTTGGGCTCAGTTCCAGCACAAGCCACGGTTGCCAAATACGATGTGGCATGGCACCAGTACGGGGTAGAGCCCATTGCGGAATTTGTTATTGCAGCTGCTTTTCAATGGATGCTTGGCTCAGAACTGCTTGGAATGACCATGGGTTGTGGATCCGATGTGTCAGTATCGGTGACACTGCTGTTTGTAGAATGCATAGAACACCTGGACCCAGGACTTATAGATTGCCCTCAACTTCTAGAAGATTCACGTCATGTGCATTTGGCACTGGTGCACCCTCGGAATGTCCATCAGACTCCAGCCTCACAGCTCATCCAACCTTGATGAACAAAACCATGGGCGTGCTGGGTTATGGAAACATTGGTCAGGCCGGACCAGCTGGTATCCCAGCTCAGGGAGTTGGTTCATGTATGTGCCTGTCAATTTGTTTCCAGAGTCTGCGCATGGCCTTTTGTTTGCCTTCAGGCAGTTGCCAAGAGAGCCAGTGCATTGGGCATGAAAATCTTAGCTACCCGCCGTCATGGCCCCTTCTCGTTTGCCCGGCTGCATTCAGCTGTTTTGCAACCTTGTAGACTCTCATCAAGGCTTCTGGAATTACTCTTTCGGCATCCACGTCGCGTGTATGCACTCCAAGTACGATTGAAAGCTCTTGTAACTTCCTGCTCAAGTAAATGGTCGTGTGGCTTGAGAATTTTTGGGGCTGGGTTTCAATTGCTACTGAGATCTCCCGGCTTACCGCCTGTCCACTTCATTGTGCCTCTTCTTGCATTCCCTGGGCCCTTTCTGGATTTCTCCTGGGTTTTGTCCTAGCTTGCCTCATTTTTGGATTTTTCTTGCTGCGGTGGTCTTTTGACTTGGATTTCAGACCTCCCCAGCGGACTTCCAGGCCTAACGTCCGTCAAGCCAGGCCCAGACTGGCAAGGTACTTGGATGAGTGATTGCCCTCTTGCTTTGCGCGAGATCCGGGCTATCATCTTAAACCTAGAGAAACTTGAAAAGTGGCTAGCTGAAAGGGAGGCATCCAATACTGCAAGCCAGGCTTCCGGTTCTGGATATAGAAGAGGTGGAGTGGCCGATCGAGGCCGAGTGGTCCTGCAGCAAGCTCAAGCCTCAGCCTTTCCTGCAATTCCTCCTGTGGCCTTTGGTTGGAAACTGGTGAAAGAGGCTGGGCCATCTTTCCAGTCTGTTTACGGGAACATTCCCTACAGAGGTTTGGAAGACGGACCGGGACCAGTGCCCGACTGGGTGAAAGGATCAGGCTGATTTTGTGGATTGGGATCGACGCACAGCTGAGCAAAGGATCTCCCTGGCATTCTCTGCTGGTTTTTGGGCTCGCATTGCTTTGGAAACCTTTACCGACAATTTGCACCCTCTGGTGATCTCTGAGCCGCCGACCAACTTCATTGTGCTTCGAGCAGCTGGATTGGGTGGTTACGTCAGGTTTGGGAGTTCGAAAGACTACGACGCCTTCAAGGCGAGAGTGCCTGATACTGAGCTGATTGCTCAGGCCTTTGCAACTGAGGCAGAGCTGAGCATCTTTTGCTACAGCGCGCGCATTGCTGTGCCTGCTCTTTATACCCAATGTTGAGAAAGGATAAGCTGAGACCAGCTTCGAAGGGTGACCCGAGCTTGCTTGTTTTGTCACTTCCGCCCACGGTCACCCTTCTTGAGGAAGAGCTGGATGTGTATGCTATACCTTTGGAATTCAGGAGGGGTGGAATGTTGATAGTAGTTCCCGCACAGGTTATCAACGCCAACACCTTGCAAGATGGACTCACAGGGGCCGAAGATGTCCTCTTTGGTCCAAGTTCAATTTTTCAAGCTGCACTCATGGAAGAGGCCGATGATCTTTCTCTAGTGGAGCTAGGGGTTGCCGCTGATGTGCTGGTGATAGATGTCACGGATGACGTGCTTGGCCTTTGTCGAGAATATGATCCGGTGACCGACTCCACAGCGGCCATACATGGGTATTCCTTTGATTTTCCTGCAGGCCTCCCAGACTGCAATGTCCTTCTGGGTCAGGCCAAAGAATGGATTGCGTCAAGACAAGAGGAAAGGGTGGGTTTTTATTCCGCTCAAGAAGACCTGGAAGAAAGCCCACCTACAAGACCTGTGGTCGCTGCTTCAGCCAAAAAGGCGCCTGCAAAGCAGCGTGTGACCAACTCTATGATTGCAGATCAACTCTCGAATCTGACGGCTCAGATGCAGCTCCTGTCGCAGAGGCAGGATCAATTGGAGAAATCAAGAGAAGGTTCTGCAGAAAATGTTGGAGGGCGGCCACCTGGTCACGCTTTTATGGCTTCCCAGAAGCTGCCCGCTGTTTCCGCGGCCCTTCAAGACCCCAAGGGAGTGCCCAAAACTTTGGCAGCCAAGGCACTGAGTCTGGTGGGGCCCCCACCAAGGTTGCAAAGAATCTTCCTGTGACGGCCGAGGCCGATGTGACAGCTTTAGACGAGCCCTTGGATATCCTGCAGAGCCGACCCGAGGAGATGGAAGGGATTGCATCGGCTTTAGCTCAGCAGAGCACCGCCATCACGGCACTGGTGGCACACTTAGCCGCGCAGTCTCCCGACGCCCTTGGAGACCTGGCCTCTCTCGGGCCTTCGTCGAGTTCTACAAAAGGCGTGCAACGAAGAGAGCGCATGCAGACAGAGCTGGCGGCAGACACCAGCAATTACTATCTGCAGATGATGCAGCAGCTTCACCGACGCCTGCACCCGTCGAAGCCAGTTCCCCAGAAGGAGGAGGACCTGGGAGACCTATCAGTTCTCACTTACCTGGAGCGGAATGGAGGGTATCGGAACCAACGCGAGATGGGGTTGATTGCATGGATGCTTGGCCACGCGCTAGATGCCTCAGCGGTGGGAAACATGAGGAGGACCAAAGAGATTCTAGCCCTCATGATGGTCGCTGTGGAGCAGTCAGTGGTGGACAAGGGAGACTGGTCACTTGCGTATCTGTTGACGCTTTTGGAAGAACCTCCCAACCAGATGTACCAGGACCGTGCCATCAATCTCACTCACAGCTCGAAACCATTCGGGCCCTTGGTTCCTCCTCAGTGGACTGCAGTGTGCCTTTCGTATCTGAAAGATTTGGATGTGCTAGCAACCAAGAAAGGCGAGACCCAGAAGAAACCTGCGAAGGCTTCATCAAGCTCGGAAGCACCAACGCAGGTGGAGCCAGAGAAAGAAGCATCGCCCAAGCGCAAACCGCGCTTTCCAAAGAAGCCAAAGGCGGGTCAATCACCAGATGCATGAAGTCAAAAGGGTTTCTTAGTGACCGTCGGGGTGACGAAGTTCAGCCTGAGGGACATTCAGTAAATCCTCAGCGTGGTGGCAGCCGTGATGGCTTTCCAGTTCCCGGCCACCCTGACTTATCAATAAGCCATAAAAAGAATTTGTCCGGTGATCAGAAGATTCATAAGCCTTTGGAGCGTTTTGCATGTGCATCAGCTGTGGACACTCTGGATTTCAACAAGTGGTGTTCATTTTTGGCTATTTCCGTTTTGAGGACAAGGTCTCCTTTTTCGAAATTTCTGCATTCCACTTTGCATTTGCAACGGGGCATTGAGGCCTCGGTATCGCCTTTGTTTCCCTTGCCCATACCGTTTCCAGGTGTTTTTGCAAGGATGCCCTCAGGTCTCTCTGCATCCAAAAGGTGCAAGATCCATTTCAGAAGAGCGATTCATGTAATGGTGATGGCGCTGAATTTTTGGTGGGCAGGGAGCTGTTTTTATTTCTATAGAACATCTGAGGAGGACCCCTTCGAAGAGCCAGCGGAGCTTTCTGCATCGGCTGTCAGGTCTTGTTTTGGCTGACGGCCCTCTGGAATCATTTGAGGTGATCAGGAGTGGCCGACGTTTTCCACAATTAGTTGCAAGACTTTGTGACCTTTCTGATGTCTTGGCGAAACTTGGTGTTGGCGCTGGACCGTATGAGAGAACCTTTTCCGGCCACTCAGTCCCTTTGGATGTGACCAGGTTTCAAGAGCTTGAGCCTTACAAATCTCTGGATGCAAGTCGGTTAAAGGTAGTGGGACATGGCAGACTTGACGCGACCCCTTTCCTGACACCAGAACTTTGCATGGCTTATAGGTATCCTGACTCCTTGCTTATCGATGTAATTCCAAAGCAGCATGAATATCCAGCCACCATGGACTCGGCCGAAGAGGTGCTTTCTCTGGCCAGACTTTGGGATGCCCGAGGGTTGCTTTATATTCATGACATAGATTTGGAAAAGGAGAGACGTTTTGAGCTGGTGCGAGTTTTCAACTGCCTGAAGAACACGGAAGTTGATAGGCAAATTGGTGATCGCAGGGGGAGGAATGCAGTTGAGGCCAGGGTCAGCGGACCCTCCAGAAACCTGCCTACTGGCCCTGACCTTTTAGACTTTTCGATTTCCCCTGACAAGGAATTTATCTCAGTGGTTTGCACCGATAGGAGAGACTTCTATCATCAGTTTGCAACCTCCACCAATAGGACACTCTCCAATACAGTGGGGCCTGTTTTGGCTTTGAACGACTTGGTGGGCACTTCTGCCTTTGAACAGTTTCAGAATCGAAGCAAGCTACGACGCCAGAAACGTACTGTGGAAGGTGACAAACTTGGATTTACAGCCAGACAGCAGTTTGCGAAGGTTGGGCCTGGACACTGTATGATTGCTTTTGGAAGTATATTTCAGGGAGACCATGCCGGTGTTGAAATTGCTACATCAGCGCATGAGGGCATATTGCAGGATGCAGGCCTGCTTGATGATGACAGCAGGCTACTCGCTAGTCGACCTTTTTGGGGGGACAATCTTTGTCAGGGGCTGGTCATTGATGACTACTTCGCCATTGCAAAGATTCCTAAAGGGCTGCTGGTAGATGATCCTGCAATGGAGTGTTTGAGGCGCAGTAAGGCTCGTTATCTGAGCCTGAATGTTCTGTGTTCAGATGATAAGGACATCAAGGGCGTGCCTGAAGCGAAGGTTATTGGGGCATATGTGAATGGCTCATTGAGGGCCACTCAAAGAGGTCATGTACTGGTCTCTGCGCCGCCTGCCAAAAGATATTCCTTGTCATGGCTGACTTTGCAGATCTGCCAGCTCACACATACCACTGATTCTCTTCATTTGTGCTTGCTTGGAGGCTGGACATCCATTGCAATGTTTAGAAGGCCTTTCATGTCGTTGTTACAGAAGAGCTTCCAAGTGGTTGACATGGAAAATTTTACAGCATCCAAACCAAAGATGTTAGGCTTGTCTAGAACGGTGGCCACAGAGCTTGTGTTGTTGGCAGTCCTTTCTCCCCTGATCGTTTCAGACATTGCCGCTGAGTTTGGTGACCGAATCTTTGCGACAGATGCCTCATTAGCCAAAGGTGCGATTGTGAGTGCGCAGATTGGCCCAACTGTTTCCAAATGTGCCTGGAGAGCTTTCAGATCAAAAGGGGGTTACTCCAAGCTCCTTACACCCGTTCAGTCAATCTTGGCACGTTGCATGGATTTTGAGGAAATTGAGATACCAAAGGAAGAATCTGTGAAGAGGCCTTTAGCCTATCGTTTTGACTTCATTGAAATATATGCAGGGGCTGCCACCGTAACAGAGCATGTCGCAAGGCTGGGCTACTCAGTTGGGTGCCCAATTGATATTTCCTTTAGCGACGAGCTGAATATGAAATTTGTGCATGTTTTGGAATGGATTTTGCACCTGATAGCAAATCATTTCTTGAAGTCTTTCATGATAGAGCCTCCGTGTACGACCTTTTCGGTCATGCGTGTGCCTCCCCTTAGGTCAAAGGAGTTTCCCTTTGGTTTTTGCTTGGAAGATGAGCAAACCACTGACGGTACTGAACTTGCCTATAGGTCCTTCGAAGTCATGAAAGGGGGATTGTATCATGGAGTCACGGGGGTGCTTGAGAACCCATGGACTTCAAAGATTAAGTTCTTACCAGGCTATGAGGTTATTGCATCGGATGAGCATTGTGATGTTGTACGCTGCGACTCATGCGCCTACGGGTCCATACACCTAAAGTCGTTCATGTTTTTGTGCGCCTGGGCTGAGGTGGCTCCCATCTCCAAGCGATGTGATGGTTCCCATACACATGTCCAGATACAAGGTCAGTTCACTAAGAAGTCGGCCACCTACGTTGATGCTTTGGCCGCAGCCTTAGCCCAAGTTATGGCATCTGGCATCGACCGTCTGAATAGTTTTGATGACCTGGTCGAAATCCCCAAAGCTGATGGCCTGGAAAACCAATTGGTAAATGAACTGTGCTGCTCTCTACCTTGGGAGCTGGAGTCTGTTTGGACTTTTAAAGTTGCGACTCGCATCAACTTGCTTGAGCTGTCAGCTGTTGTACGCCTTGCAATGCGTCTTGCCAAATCTGGTCGCTCTATCCGTCTGGTTGTGCTCATTGATTCAAATGTTGTTAAATGTGCTGCGGCAAAGGGCAGGTCCTCCTCGAAGCTCCTTTGCAAAGCTCTGTGCCGTCTTGCTGCCATCTGTGTGCTTGCGGGTTTGTACATGGTTTTTGCCTACGCTCCCACCCGTCTGAATCCGGCTGATGATCCTACCCGTGATGTCTGTCTGCGTTTGCCAACCCCGGGCCTTGGAATTTCCGGCTGGGGGTCGCCTGAGCTCTTTCGTCTTGCTGCTGTTCCTCGTTGTCGGCGTTGGGTCTCTAATTGGGTGCGGCTTGTCCTTCTGGTTTGTGGGCCCTACGCTCTCGCTCTCGCTGACCGGTCCTCCTTCCGGTGTCCTCGCTTTCCCTATGGATTTACCTCTGCCAATTCACAGTCTGTTCTCGCCTCAGCCTTTGCCGATGACTCCTCTCATTCCTCTTTGGATTTTGATGCAACTCTGGGCTACCCTGGTGAAGGTCCTGTCCTTGGTCTCAGTAGCAATTCTTTGTGCCCCCTAATAATTTGGGTTTGGATTTGGGCCGCGGGCGCGCCTCGGTGCCATGGTGTGCTGGCTCCCAAAACTCCTGGAGACTTTCAACGACAGGCTGCCCGATCAAATAGGCCTCCTTTGGTTGAAGGTAGACCTGTACTGGGGGTTACAAATCAGGCGAGACAAGGCTATTTGGGCCAATTTGAGAGCTGGCTTCAGGGCATTGGTATTTCTTTGGAGGAACTTTTGGAAAACCATGTGTGGAGGATTGACGAGCTGAACAAACTTCTGGTCAGATATGGACGCAATCTATACGCTGTGGGCAGGCCCTATAACCATTATGCAGAGACGATTAATGCTCTGGCGTCTAAAAAGCCTGCGGTCAAACGACAGATGCAAGAGGCCTGGAACTTAGCCTTCGCTTGGGTTCGAGATGAACCACCAGTTCATCATATAGCGATGCCATGGCAGATTTTGCTCGCAGCCATCACTGTATGCTTTTCTTGGGGCTGGATGGAGATGGCTGGAATGCTTGCTCTTATGTGGGGAGGACTGCTCAGGGTAGGCGAGTTTCTGCAAGCTACAAGAGCAGATCTTTTATTACCTGTTGACACTGGTTATACTAATCAGTTTGCTCTTTTATCGCTGAAAGAACCGAAAACTAGATTTACCACGGCTCGACATCAGACGGCTAAGCTCGACATTCCAGATCTATTACAAGTGGTTCATTTGGCATTCTCGCGATTAAGCTCTAAGCAGAAGCTTTGGTGCCGCTCTGGTCAGACACTTCGCAATCGCTTCAAGGCAGTGCTCCTAGAGTTGGGCATTACACCTCAGGTTCAACTTAATGGGAAAGGCCTTGATTTAGCGTCTTTGAGACCAGGAGGAGCAACATGGCTTCTTCAAACTACTGAAAATGGGGAGCTTACTAGAAGACGAGGTCGCTGGGTGAACCAACGGGTTATGGATATATATATTCAGGAAGTGTCATGTTTTCAGTTTCTGGCTGCGCTTACGGAGCCCTCCAGGTCAAAGATTCTGCAATTGTGTAGCGCCTTTCCTCAAGTGATGTTACTGGCAGAGAAACTCTGGATGGCAAAAATACCGTTTTCAGCTTGGTACGTGGTCATGCAAGGACAAGTTACAAGGACAGTGGGAGATGTGGTTACCTGGGTCTTCCATCCTTGACTATATGTGAAACAACTTGGTCAAGCCTGGAACGTGTGCAAAGAACTACGCAATGCACGTGGAAGTGGAAAATGGAGCGCCCATGAGTTCTTGCACTCCAAGTACGATTGAAAGCTCTTGTAACTTCCTGCTCAAGTAACCCACCCTGGGTTCATTTGCCCAACCCATTGATCAGTCCTTGCATTACCTGGGTCTTCCATCCTTGACTATATGTGAAACAACTTGGTCAAGCCTGGAACGTGTGCAAAGAACTACGCAATGCACGTGGAAGTGGAAAATGGAGCGCCCATGAGTTCTTATATATATATATATACATCTATAAGTATATATATATATATAAGTATATATATATATATTAAAAAAAAACTATATAGAGATTGATTGAAAAAGTAGATTCAAAAATCACCGTGTGGTCCAATTCATCAATTCAAGCTTCCAGCTGCAACTGTGGCTTCAAAAGGCACAGCCTTTCCATGTCTATACGGCCACAGGTCCTGGCTCATCAACGACAATGACAAGCTCCTGGCCGAGAGCGACTTTGTGGCGGTCACAGTCCCTGGTGCCTTGCCATTGCACCTGGTTGAATTGACCTAATTCTAATGATTTGGGGCCCCTGGGGCCATGATTCAACATGTGAGTCTGATGTCCTGCGCGATGTGAATAGTTTCCCAAAGCTCAGGCTCCGTGCGTGGATTGATCAACAGGACATCTTTGGCGCTTATGAAGAAAGATGCCGTTCCTGGAATTGAGATGACATGATGAATTGAGAAGTTCTTGGTGCTTTCGGATTTGCGAAGTTGCACCGGGAACTCGGGGTGAGGGGTTTTGCCGAGGTTTTGATTCCGGTCTCCGCCAATCCGGTGGATTTTGATGCGCTGTACGAGGCTGGGATCTGTTGGTTGTGGGTGATTGGTTGGTGTCATTTGCACACGTTGACGGTCTTACTTTGCCAACTTTTTTGGCTGGTGGTTGGCTTCTTGTGAGAGATATTCCACAAAAGGGATCCGTTTTGGTCATCTGCAGCTTTGTCCTGAGGCGCTCCTAACTGGTTCAATGGGAGCAGTGCTAGATGTATGGCCGCAAGGGTGCTGGCACTTTCCCGATATGTTCTGTGGGCCCCCGTACACCGAACAGGCACGCCTCAGTGATTTCAACATTCCTTGCTGGCCGGCCAGTGTCGTTTCTGAAGGTTGAATCGTGTTGAACAGCCTCCCTGAGGCACAACCCTATTCTGATGACATCGCCAACTTGCAAAATGTCTTGCTTTTGCCAGGTGCCACATGGCGCCGTATTTGCTCGTGTCGAGGGTTGTTGTCTTGCTGCCAAATGCCGAGACACAAGTCAAGCACAGCATCTGCTGCAAGGAGTTGCCATGAGGGACGATCGCTTTTGGTCCAACAGTGCAAAGTATGTCGGGGAGAACCTGGCACCTTGCCATGCAAATGCAAATCTGCATGGCCGTGTTTCCCTTCACCCTCACGCAGCTACATTTGTTCCTACGAAGCACGGCCCAGGTTGCCCTGGTCAACGGTGCACCATTGAAAGGAGTGGTGCGCAATGCATCAACCAATGCCGCTTGGCCCCGTTGACTGGTAATGTTTATTGAAGGGATTGGAAACTTCTTGGAGTGCTTGGCCTTGAGGCACTACGCCCGACCAAGCTGAGCTTTGTTTGAGCATCGGTTTCGCAGAACAGAAGGTTACCCGTGGAATGGCAGAACCACCTGCTTTTCCTTGGCCTCAAAATACCGTGAACATTTCACTTACTACCCAGCTACGTTTACGCCGACCAAAAAGTTCAAAGAGGGCAAGGGGGTGCCGCGTGTGCTGATAAAGAATTGCCCGTCACACCAGGACTTGACAGTGGGCCTTTCGTGAGAATTGCTTACATTAGCTGCTCAGGTTGCGTGCTGCCAGGCTGGCAACGCTGGCAGGGTGCGCTGGGGGCCGGGTTCAGTTGTTTTGGCATTTAGAATAAATTGTTGTAGATTTACTCGGAGCATTCACTCTTGTGGACAGGGTCTTTGATTTAAGCGATCAACCGCAGCTGTGTTGCTCACAATTTCTCAAGATACTCACAGCTCCAGCCCAAACTCCTTCAGTGATCAAGCTATTGCTGTGGAGCATGAGCAGCCTGTTGCACAGAGGAAGGCTAAAAACTCTTTAGGTAGCTGAGGGTAGTGCCATGACCCACTCCTATCACCGCCATAACGTCATTCACTGTGGCACTTCCCTAGCAGCCATGCCCCTGCCGCTGTTCGTAGTGAGTTCTGGGGGCTTGGAGATAAAGGGGATCCTTGGCATGCAGATGGGAAGATGAGATGAGAGATCGCGAGGCAAAACGTTCAGACCCAAAAACATGAAACATGAAATGCAGGATTGCGCCATGTTTCGCCAGGCCTCAGCAAATCGTTCTAAGTTTACTTGCTCTGGATCCGCAGGCAATTTTTGCAACTGCGGTTATCACGAAAGCTAGCGTCAGCTAGCTGGAGTCTTCTTGCTTTAGCAAGTATTCCGGGGGCTGCTCAAGGACATCACATGATTTTTCACGCGAAAGGGGGGGACCCCCCCCCTCCCCCCCCCCCTCCCCCTCCCCCCCCCCACCACCACCACCACCACCACCATCACCATCACATCAACATCACCATCACCGTCATCATCATCATCGTCATCATCATCATCGTCATCCTCATCGTCATCCTCATCGTCATCCTCATCGTCGTCATCATCATCATCATCATCATCATCATCATCATCATGCCATCGTCCTCGCCATCGTCCTCGTCATCGTCATCATCATCATCATCATCGTCCTCGTCCTCGTCCTCGTCATCGTCATCGTCCTCGTCATCGTCATCGTCATCGTCGTCATCATCATCATCATCATCGTTATTCACTTACATTTCATCATTATTGGCAATTGTTGGCATTATCACGAAAGGTAGCGTCAGCTCGCTAGAGTCTTCTTGCTTTAGCAAGTATTCCGGGGCTCCCCAAGGACATCACGTGATTTTTCACGCGAAAGGGCCCCCCCTGCCCCCTCCCCCATATATATCATTGTTATATATCATATATCATATATCATTGTTGCATCCTCGTTGGGACGAACAATGCCGCGACACGATGATGACAGTCCCTCCGCAACTCACCTCTTCCCTTCCTTCTTTCTCCTACCCCGCTAGCTTTCGTCATCCACCCCCGGCCTCAAGTCTGTCGGCGTCGTGCTCAAATGGGGCAGCTTTCAATGTCCCTGAAGGTCATGGAGAAACATAGGGAGAGAATGAGAATGCGGCAGAATGCGATCTTATGGGTGGTTCCTTCGCAACGAAGGGGAATTCCATCCTCAATGCAGGTGTTACTGTGAATCTCTAGCTGCAGGGCAAACCTCGGGAAGCACCAGAACAAATGCTGAATGTGTTGGGCACCAACCACTGGTCCGGCCTGCGTTTGATTCTACCTATTAGGTGGACTGAAGTACTGAAGGTTTTAACTCTTGTGTGATGTCTGAGTTGGACGAGACAAACTCAAGAAGATCCACAATATATAAATTGCCGAGAGAGAGAGATAGAGACACGTGCAGAGCTTCCGCTGCGAGCCAATGTCGTCCCATGGCCAGCTTCAAGCTACCTGGCCCTGAGCCTGCGCAGACTCTGGAGGGCCATGAGGGGGCGGTGCTATCGCTGTCTCTTGGCTGCAATTGGTTCCTGTGCAGTGAGGACATGGTTTGCACATGGAATGCAAAGGGTGGCGCACCGAGGTCATGGACAAAGAATGGTCAGTACATCATGACTGCCTCTCAGGAGCGCAATGAGCGCAATCCAACTCAAGAGAGAGATTTCCGCGTGCATGTGATGATGTGTGATGTCTTATCAATGAACTGATGAGGGATCTCAATGGTGTCAAGATGACGTGATGGTCGTAGTGTCGTATTTGGATCGCTGTGCAGGACAAGTCGGTCCGACTCTGGAACCCACACAGCGGGAAACACATCAAGAAGTTTGCTGGCTGCCATAATCAAGAAGTCAATGATGTCTTGACTCTGGGCTGAGCATAAACCAGAGCTCTTCAATGTTTTCTTGGTCAACCCACCTGGATATCAGTTGTTCACCTTGGAAGACTCCAGGTGGGTTGACCGCCGCCAGGATTGCCGACGACAATAGCAAATTCGTGTCATGTGGCTCCGACAAGCTCATCTTCCAGTGGGATGTGACTTCTGGACAGGTGGGAGAATCCAATGCACAGGGGCTTACTCACAGTGACATATTTATTTTTGATTATTTTTGTACACTGTTCGAGTCGCTTGATCGCTGACCAGTCCTGGAATGTCCTGGAGTCTCCGAACCAAGGCTTACATTCTGACATGTCATATCTATACATATCTGACATGTGTCCTTGTGTCAAGCACGGCTCTTGCTCCGTGTCAGGTGGTTCGAAAGTTCACCGGCCATGAGCGGAAAGTAAATGCTTTGGCCTTTGGTCCCAAGGACAGAGCCATCAAGCTGAGGTGGTGCAAGCAGCCATCGGATGGTGATGTTGACAACGTGACACCCTTGTATCAAGATTATCGGGATGAAAATTGAACAGGGTAACGACAAAGATACTTACCTTCCAGCTGATATTCCATACCAAAATCTTGGGAGTGAGAGGGTGCTGAAGAGCGGCTACTGTTCATTATTTTTACATCAACGTGCTGCTTTTTGGTGTTAATAGAAACCACTTTCCGCTTTCAGAATGGCAGGAAGAAGTATTGCTGAGTGCTTCCCATGACAAGACTGTGCGGATTTGGGACCTGCGCGCGCGTGGCAAGGGACCCATCCAGGTCTTGACTGGTGCAGTAGACTCTGTGCTTTGTTTGATGACGCATGGTGATGCTCCTTTGATGCGGTTTGGTCAGTGGGCAACTGTAGCCTGGGCTAAGATCTGATGTTGAGATCTTATCAATGGGAAATCCAGGATCCTAAAATGGAGGTACTGTACCATATAAGGCCATATTTTGTGGGGATATTCCCTTACATAGGCCTTACATTGGCCTTATATATGGTAGGTACCTCCAATTTAGGTTCCTGAAATGGCCATTGATCTTGTGGTTGTTCCATGTTGTTGCATTCACACTTTAGTTAAAGACTCCGTCTCTGACAAGGAGGCACATATACAAACGCTTTGAATGTTGCTATACATCATCATACATTGTTATATATATATATATGTATATAATTATATGTGTATGTTATATATATATATATCATAGTCATTATAGTATGCGCACAGTATGCATTAACGTATTGGTTCATTTTATAATTTGAGGTTGTGTCGGCCAGTCTGTGCCCAGGAGATCATCACTGGGAGCGTAGACGGCGGCTTGCGCAGTTACGATGTACGTCAGGGTCAGCTGGTCACGGACCGAGTGCTGTTTCCTGCTGCCAGATGGCACTAGTCTGTTTGATATGCCATGTCTGTTTGTAAATGCATATGGCATATGATATGCCATGCCAGATCATGCCAGTAAACACGCACAGAAATGCATAGAACACCAACGACATTTCCAGAAGCAGCAGATATCATCAGATCATGTGGTAGGACCAGCTGCAGCAGCCTATTGGCAGCATCTCTGTGTCGAACGACGGCCAATGCCTTTTGGTCTCCACCTTGGACCTCTGGCAGCATTGATGGCCCGGATGGCTGTGGCCATGAGAGGGGCCTGTAAGCACGTAGCGGCGTAGCAGAGTCCAAGATTTGTGGTCAGTAAGGACAGCCACATCCATTTGCTGGAGCACCTAGATGGCTCCGAGCTGACATCGTACACCGGACACACCAACAAGCCCTTTGGCTTTGATGACTTGGGTGTTGAAGCAGCCGCGGGTCCTGATGTGCATTCACTATCGTTTTCCATGTTGTTCAGAAGTCCGAAGACGCACGAAATCGTAAGCAGTTCTTATTGTTCCGTATGCATTAGCATGTGCAACATGCGCCACTGTCGAGTGGTTTCGGATTTCATTGAGGCGAGTCAAAGTGCAGAGTGCACTGGATCCGACGGACTCCTTCATTGCTAGTGGCTCTGAGGACCCCTAAGACTAGGCCCCAAGAGTTGAGGTCTGCAGTTCAGTTGCAATCGACTGCATACATTTTTTTAATTCTGACTTCCTTGACTCAGATGCACCTCATGATGGCCTGAGAAATGCTTTCGGATGAAGATTTCAATTTGTCGCTTTGGCATAGAGATGGTGGCCATTCAGATATGATTACCGTAATTAGTCATTGTAGTCATTCCAGGCTTGTTTCTCAGAGCCTTGAAGCACGTCCGACTGTTCCATACTGTTCCTACATATGCATGATAAGAGCCACAAGTTTGTTTTGTCATCCCGCTCCCGCCGCAAGGACGGCAAATTGCATTTCTGGGAACTGGTCGAAGCTACGCCCTTGGCAGGTGCGCAGCAAGGACATTCAGCTGCTGTGCTGTGCTTGGCGTTCTTTGAAGAAACCTTGGTATCTTGGCGTTGAGAGGGCGGTTTTGGAGTGGCCAGGGGACAGTGGGGTGAGTCCAAAGATTCCATTGAGCGATTGCCATGGATATGCTACCGCATGAGCTGCATTGCAAACCACAGAAACCCAATCAATTGATGCCATTCATCTCTGACTCAGTCTCAGTGCGTATTTTTTTGGAGAGCAATTTCAGCGCGACTTTAGCATGTGAATATGTTCACATGCAATCAAGCCATATCAAGCAGTGTGCATGGTGTGACCATTCAGGCATGAGCAAGGAGAAGCAAATGGGGTTTCAGAAATTCTTTTTATTTATCACGACAAGATGCTCTGCATCTCGAATGAGGAAGATAACCTCCAATAAATATCCTTGTCATTTATAAATCCATAATTTTTCAAGTCTACATGTGACCCTTGGCATTCATTCTCCACACAACCCTCGCCTGGCCTCCCTCTTCCTCTTTTGAGCTGTGAACGTTCTCCCTCTCTTCCCGGGTTGTGCAAAGTGGCCAGCGGATGCCAGTTCAATTGACCCTCAGCGATCTTTGTGGCAAGGTTAGTGCTTCTGCAGACGGTGTCATCAAAGTTTGGCAATTTGTCGGCAAAACATGTCAACTTGAAAATGGCACATGTGAAATTATTGGCAGCATCGACTTTGCTTTGGACTTTGTGAGACTTCTGCTAGGAGAGAGCAGCGACAGTGAATCTGAGGCGCCCATCGAGTGGCTGCTGATGCATGCTGATGAACCTCAAGGATCCTCAAGGCAGATTTCTTCTCCTCAAGTCCTCGGGTCTTCAAAGTTTTACATGTATTTCCCTCCCTCTTCTTGCGCGTGTGAACTTGTCTGGAGGCCAAATTGTCTTATTAAAGCTTGCAGCTTTCCATCTTTCCAGATTTCCAAGCAATCTTGTAATTTTCATTTGCATGCCGTGGCATATTTGGCCCAAAGTATCACCGCAAGTACATAGAGGCAATCCACCAGCAAGCCACTTCAAGAGCCACAGTATTGGTGAAACACCGTGACAAGCAATCAATGAATTTTATGTATTTGTATATTTAGTAGTGAGTGACCGGCGGTAAAGTTGCTATTGGGTGTCAGCCGATTCAAGCAGAAAAGTGGAACACTTGCTTCGATTTCTGCAAGAGGCGTGCCGTTTTGCGGTCCGCATGGTGGTGAACCTGAATGCCAGGGACCGAGCCACAGCAGCACATGCTGCTGCTGCCAGGTATGGTAAGGTCTCCCCATTTGATGAAGCGAATTCTCGGCCGCCTTCCAGACCATCCTCTGCAAGACCTTCAGCCAGACCTTCATCGGCAGGCACAGCTCGCACAAAGCTTGGCAACGAATCTCCCAATCGATCTCCACGGTTGCACTGGGGATTGAACTTTACTGTGCCTCGAAGCTTTGTAGAGATTGCTGCAGGACAGCATATTGATTGGTTGGAGTTGCAGTTTGGGCCAAAGGAAATCAAATTTCGAGAGCTCGGAGCCAAGTTGGAAGCCGAAGCCATGGAGGCGGCTGCCCGCGAGGCATTGCTGGCTCGCAATGGATTGGAGCGGCGACGCCGGGCAGAGAGAGCCTGCAAGGAGAATCGAAACTGCACGGGGGAACCATGGCGTCATGGCCGGCATGGAGGCCATCAAGGAGATGGACCCCCTGGCGGGGGTGGGCCTCTGCATCTTCCTAGCCGGCGCAATCGAACAGGTGCCGGTGATGGGGGGCTTTTTTCAAACTTGTCGCCGTTGGAGGCTACGGAATCCGCACTAAGGCACCGGCAGCTGATGGAAGCACGACGCTTGCACAGGGCAGCTCGGCCTGCCTCGGCGCCACTCGCGCGTGGCCCTCCTTCAAGGCTCACTTGAGCGCAATCCCCTGAAGCAAATCATGGCCAGTAATGGCCAGGAAGATGGAAGATTCGAATCCGCAGAATTGGAATAAGCAGCCGCATGCTCAACCTGTACAGTCCTTTTTTGAATGGATGTATATAATATAGCTCTATGACTCTATGGCGGTCTATGTCAAATTCTCTTTCTAAGTCTCACCCAGACAGCGCGGACAGCAACTTTGGAGGAGTGAAAGGAACTCCTCCAAAGAGCATGCTGCAACGAATCACAAAGGTCCTGTGGCTGGCATGGGGGGTTGTATGATTGGATATGCTCAAGTCCTCGTTTGACGAGACCGGAGGTTTGAAGGGCACATCATCAAATCTGTTCAAATGCTTTCAAACCATTTGCTACTCGGAGAGTCATTGGCCGCCTTGGCCTTGAAACCCGATTATTGAAAATCATATGGCGCGAGCTTACATGCCTTCTGGAGCACCCGGTGCAGTGTTGTGTAGAAGTCTTTGGCTCTTCCTCGGCCCCCCTTGTTGTCCTTGGAAATTGTTCCCTCCAGGCTGGCTAGCTGCACTGGCCAGAACAGACGTGGTCAAGCTGCTTCCGCCTGCAATGAAAAAGGTGAGTAGTTAAGCTGAGCCGCCCCTGCGTGTGAGGACGTTTGCTGATTGAGATAGTGTTGTTAATGTGCTGAATGGAGCGGGTGGAAGCTGACCACTCTTTTAAGCGGCCAGAATTTGGTTCGATAATTTTCTGAAGTTTTTGGCCAAATCAGCCAAGGAGACAAAAGTTGGAGACCCAGTTTGAGGAGCTTATAGCAGTCCATGGCTCAGCAGGGAGGGTGACTAAATACTTCGGTGCCATGTGAGAAAAAGCACATGGTAGAAATGGTGTGGTGCGGTCTTTTTTTTTTTGTCAGGTTGCAACAAGCCGGCTACAACTGGCTGGGTTCAAACGGTGATGTCAGCTGAAGCCGGGCTGAGGAGCTTCAAAAGCGCTTTGAACAGCATAGCGTGGACTCCGCCGTGGACGAGCTCTTTATCATCTCCGACTTGGATGTCTCACAGAACAAGCTCTCCTTAGATCAGCGGCTCGACTGGTGGCAGGTATTTCCTTTTGGTTTGGACATTGTGACAAGATATGACAGGACAGCACTGTAATGCACTGCATTTTTCTATTTTAAAGGTATCACGGTATCAGTTGCCACTACTGTTTCATTTCGGCGAGCCGGTGAGGTTTCAAACTCTTTTCACGGTGCTGAGCTACCCCAACGTTTGCGTCGAGAGGTTCCGCATGTTCGGCTGCCCCACGCTGGATGATAGTGTGATGCAGGTTTTCAGAACCTTGTCTGATTGAGCTAGGGTGCTGAGCGAACCTTTTTTTCGGGGTGTTTTCCCACATCAACATAAAGCCACTGCATCAGGATTATCAGGCAGTATCAGGTATCCGGAGAATCTAGTTAGGCTACAGGATGCAGCTTAAGCTTTCATAGCTTTCATGCGGTTGGAAGACGAGGCCGTCCATGATCGCCAAGGGTACAGGGGCAAGTCAATGCGAAGCAACTGAGGCGATTATCTTCGACAACTGGCCCCGGACTGCGCCCCCCTGGAGTTGCATTTGAGTGATTGTGCCTCGTATAAGGCTTGGAAGTTATATATACGGGACCCAAGTGAAGCAAATAGTGACTTAGCGATGCCGTTCTTTGTGTTGGTACGGCATGATGCGACAAGTTTCAGGCTTCTTAGGATTCTTAGGCTTCTTGTCTTGCATATCTTGGCATGGTGTGCGGCCCATGGTGTGCGGCCCATCGTGTGTGGCCCTGTGCGGCATGATCTTCGTGCGTTTGGCTCTCAAGGTGCTGTGACAAGCGAGGGCTTCCACTCTCTATGCGGCGCCTTAGAGGAGCTGGTGATTGAGGGATTTCGTTCACTCTAGGCTCAAAGTGGTGCTGAAATCCGTTTGTGGGACATCCATATGATTCCTTTAATTTTGTATATGTCATCATCTTGTTTCTGACTTGACACCGCAGGAGACGCAGCTGTACCCGAAAGCCAACAGTCTCAGCCCCACCATTGGCACGCCACTCTATCTCCGCCTTGAGAATAACTACATCACGGAGGCTGAGTGCTTGTTTTCGGGGGGCACTCTTGCACTTCACTACTTCCTGGCTTTGAAAAAATCTACATTTCGTACATGATGTCTCCTTATGTTTCCTTGACATATCAGTGTCAGGAGCATATCAAAGAAAAGGTGCCTTGTTTGCAATTGTGTTCGAAAGGTATGCCATGAACAGGGCGCTTCATGTCGCTCCATTGAACCTGCTGTAATATTAATAAATCACTCCCAGGTGAACTGGAAGGTAAGTATAATTATATATACATATATATATATACATACGTGCATATATATATATATACATACGTATGTATATATATATACCTAAATAATCATAAATATATACATATACACATAAAGAAACAGATAGATTAAATAAATGGTATATATAATGTAAATATATATATATATAATTATATAATTATACATTAATTATACGTATATCAAAAATATGCACCATAGATACAACTGATATAACATATATCATGTCCTCATTTCATTTGCAACTCGTTTTTGCATCCGGACTCCTTTTTGCCTGAAGCTTCCCAACAAGGTCGATGCTGGAGTCCTACGGCACTTCAACAAGGCGAATGGTAAGACTGCTCCACTGTCTGGTGGTGCCAAGGCGAATTTGGTGATGAAGGCCTGCACTGTCTGCACTGTCTGCACGGTGCCAGAAATCCATTGAAATCCTGTCATGTGCCGTGCCCTTCAGCGAAGTGATGATACTTTTACTGACCTTTGTCACATATTGTCACCATGAATTACTCAATAGAAAGCGTTGCGAAAGTTCTGTCTGCGTTCCGTTGGCAGGGGAGCACCTACGGCCAAAAGGAGGGCAGTCCGCCCGCGCCGGAGGAAGCTCCACCAAAGCAGGCCCATTTTGTCAAGTCATCAGGTCATGGTGTCGCATTAGGTCTCGTCCAGCTGGTTTGACTGCTTGACTTGGTATTTCAGAAACTTCTTCAATCTTCTTCTTGTCTTTGCATGTTCAACAAAGTGTCGTTCAGCGTCTCCATCAGATCTTCGACCGGAACAACCCGGCCACGAAGCTACAACAGGACTGGACAGACCAACGCGAGTATTCCTTGGTTTCCTTTCAGATAAGATCAGCAATCCTGTTGATTGGCACTCGGCGGATGCAGTCAACCAGACGGCCGACACGCTGCTTTAGGAAAGCTATTTGCCTTGTGCTGCTTTGACTGCTTTGTGGGTGCAGGATAACTGGAATCCTTGGATGTGGATGATGCAGTTCGGTCCTTGGGGCGGATGCTTGGCCAAACAAGAGACATCTCAGAATTCCATAGAATTCCTTGCAGTCCTGCTGCACAGCATGAGTCGATGTGACTGTTGACATCTGTTGACTTGAGTAGGGCAGTGGTAGAAGGGACTTTGATGGACTTGGTGTATCAGGTTGCCACAAAGGTGGCTGGCAGAAAGGTGCTATGAAGGGCATTCAGACAAGTGCCGTGAAGGGTGGCATGCAGAAAGGTGGCATGACGCCCTGGCCAGGACTTATGGCACTTGCAGGCCAGATACTGCAGTTCGAAAACACCACGAGATTACGATATTCAATCGAAACTTGATGAAAGAAAGAACATGAAAGAGATATACCGAGAGAGAATCCGCCCAAAGTGGGGTTAGAAGACAAGCACCGGTTGCTCGTGGCCACCCATGACTTTGCAAATACCACTAAGATTAAGATAGATTAAGTACCTCTATTCCAATCGTGTGACCTCTAGGCAAAGCAAAGGGTAAAGGCAAACAGCTGGGGAAGTCGCTGCTCTGCACGTGGTGGTGTGACATGGTGTCTGGATGTGTTTGGATGTGTCTGATGCCAGGTAGACCGGGTAGACAAGGGTAGACTGTCAGTTGCCGACATTCGCCTGAGGTCACAAAACCCACAGCAGAGCGGCGGCCAGAATCAGTGGCAGAATCAGAACCAGCACGAGAGCCAGTCCAGTCAGAACTGTCAATCCAGCCAGTGGTCGAATGCCCAATCCTGGCAGAATCAGAGCCAGGGGAAATCCGATCAAGACCAGAATCCGAGTTGGAAGGCAGGCTGCAATTTAAAATGCACCATACCACAAGATGTCACAAGATGCCACAACTGCCTACATCCAAGAATTGTACCACGTCCGAATTCCGAATGTCCATGAGGCGTGGGAATCCAAGTCATCCACCTGGCAGGATCAAGGAGGCAGGGTCAAAGGACGGCAAGGCCCTCGCTTTAGAACGTCGCGCCGAACATGGCTGTAGAACGCGCTCTCCAGCATCGCTTTTAGAATGCGGAAATGATCCCACGTCATCTACACAATATCTTCTACATGTTTTATATCACCTAGATCATCTGCATCAATATAAGTTCATACGCAATACATACGTCAATGCATCTCCTACATCTCTCCTATATCCTTTACATCATCTACATCATCCACATCATGCACATCTACACCACATACATCCTGTACATCCTCTACATCCTCTACATCATCTTCATCAACTTCATCTACATCACACAAATCATCAAGGTCATCAACATCTTCATAAACTTCATCAACATCATCTACATCAACTTCATCTACATCACACTTCACCATCCCACCCCACCCCACCCAACCCCATCCTCCCTTACCCGGTGTGAATGAACATCACCATCCAGTGCGCGTGTGAAATTACGTTACCATCCCACCCCACCCACCCCATCCTCCCTTACCCGGTGCAAGTGAGCAGGTTCCAGGCCTACCGTGCTGCCCCTTGCCAGTCCCATGAAGATGCCCTGTGTTCTGAAATGATGCAAAATGTTTGTGGTCTGAAGTGATGTCTGGGATGGTGTGCTGAAGTGATCCTGTTACCCCCAGAGGGTGGGAACGCAGTGACGATTCAAGTCTGATTGCATCATTTCATAAACTGCTCATGGTCTGGTATTGCCATGTGATCAAACGTGATCAAGATATGTCGGCACTTGAGCACTTTGGCTTGGCAGGCAGTTGGAAGGACAAGTCATCGACGGAGTGGTCATCAAATGACAGCTCTTGGGGAAACGGGTCCAGCTCGTCCCAAGGCAGATACAATGCCTGAAACGCCAAATGTTGTTGCATCAACCTGGGGACTATGCAAACGGATGTATGGTACAGTATATACTCCGATTCAAAAATGGCATCGCGTAATATATTGCATTCTTTAATTTTCCATAGTGGGCTTGTTGAGTTATGTTGAGTTGGATATGGCATCGGATAAGCGCACCTTGAGTGTCTTGTATCTAGGGATGTGGCACACCAGGCCAAAGTTGGCAAAAAGATTCCAGCACAGGCTCAAAGCAACAGCCGCAGAACCAGGCAGGCTTTTTTTTTGCACGGCAGGAATGGTTAATTCGAAATAATTCCAATGGTTCTGGTACTGCTGCTGCTGGTGGTAAGGATGGTATCGTTTGTTTGTTCTTTGGATTCTTTGGCTTTCTGAGTTGAGCGAGCGGCTCTGCCACCACAGGACTGGAAACGGCAAGAAGGTCGCCGCGGTTGGACTTCCCAAGGCGGGGTCGTAGCTTCGTATTCTTACATACTCTTATATAATACTCTTATGATTTCTTACGCATTGGATGAGTCTAGCATAGTCTAGCTGCTGTCAAGGGGGAGTGGTCACTTTGCCATGTTTGGACCTGTCAGGCTCCGAAGACCGATCCCGGACGCAGCTTGGTCGTGATCAGTGGCCGTCATCTTCCAACGTCATGGAGTTCTGGGACACTGCTCCCTGGTATTCCCTGGTACTAGTACTAGTAGTCATAGTAGTCAATTAGTAGTCATAGTGGGTATCTTTTGAGAGTCCGGCCATCAAGGCCTGCTCCGCGTCCAAAGCCTGAGGCCCTTGTGGAAAGGGCATTTCAATATACTTCAACAATTTTGTATACTTTATTTTTACTTTTTAAAAATGTTTGTTTTGGTTCTCACTTCTTCATCTACTGGCCTCCGATGTCTCGGTCAGGCACAAGAAAAGCCGCCGCCCCCCTGGGAGATTCACTATTCAGAGGAACATCAGCTCCTTGGCAGCAGTTTGTCCTTCATTGTGGTAAAAGGCTGACAGCGGCTGACATGTGTTCATTGAAGTTCATTGCGGTCCAGAAATCCGGGAATTAGAATCCTGAGCTTCACTTGCATTTCTTGGTCCATCTGAGTCTCAAGTACTTCTGGAACAGTGAGACGGGCGAATCCTTGTGGGAGAAGCCGGAGAAGTGGTAATCTACAGGGCATGCAAAAAGAGCACAGTGCACAGCTCTCGAGACGGATGGTGGCACCGGACACTGTGATTTTTGTTCCTCGGTTAAGACGTTTAAGTTACCCTCTGACGGCCTTCCATAGTTTCGCAGGCCCGAGGCCTGGAATTCCGCCTAGTGTTGGGACCTCAGAAGTGCAGTTCCCCCAAGCTCCGACCAGAACCTCCTACTTCAAAGGTTCATGCGGATGCAGCATAATTACATGTATATATATATATAAAATATGTATATATAATATACTGAACATACCGAACATGTAGATATACATTTTCCATCACTTTCCTGACTTTTGGATTTTTCCTGAGCTCACAGTTGCAAGAGCTGGCATTGAGGACTTGACCTTGATCATTTTGAATGTCCTTTTACGGCTTAGATCGGCCCAAAACTGAGCTCCCGTTTCCCCCAGGCAGGTTCCCGTTGACGCCATGACGACATTGCGGCTACGGCCTGCTGGAGGGGCAGAATTCCAAGTGGAGCTGGAGCAGTCCGCGAGCATCCTGGAGGTGGGGAGATGGGGTCGTTAACTCTTCGAGGGAAGACATTGCAGATAGATAGACTCACATGGACATATATATGTGTACACACACACATGCACACACACATATATATATATATACACACCATAGTGTACATATACAAAGATATCATCATGTCATTTTGTAATGGTGTAGTTCATTTAGTTTATTTGAGCTTGCTTTATGAATGATCGCTTGGAATTCAAGCTTCCGGACCTGAAGTAAATTCATCTCCCCCAATTAGATGCGCGGCACTCCCAGTGCAGGTCAAGGTGGCAGCCACTGCGGGTTGTGACATCGATCCAGAGCTCATGAAGATCATCCACAAGGGCCGGGTGTTGAGGGATGAGGAACTGTTGAGGGCTTTGGGTATCCAGAATGGAGACGCGCTGCACATTGCCAAAGGTATGGCAGCCTCAACTCAGAAAGGGTATCTTGACAAGGCAAGCAGTGATGCCAGTGACAGGCTGGAAATTCAGTTGAAGGCTCCTGGTGGCATTGAGGTCACCTTGGCTGTGGATTCAAAGGATCCGGTAGAGGAGCTCCGAAAGGACGCAGCTTCTCGTTGTGGATTGAAAGTGGAGGAGATCCATTTGCTGCACAAAGGAAAGATCCTGAAAGATGGTCTCAGCTTGGACTCCTGTGGAATAGCTAATGGCTCAACTGTGCGTGTAGCACGGCGGCAGGCCGAACAAACTGAACCCAAGGAGCCTGTGACCGTGCAAGTGGAGCCAGAGGCAGGATCTGCAATGCCTATGGCATGGGGAAGTGATTCTCCTCTTGACATGGCACAGATGAGGATGATGGCAGCTGCCATGGGTGTGCCGTTAGACCGTTTGTTGGGAAATTTGCCACCGCAACAGGCCATGCAAATGGTGCAACAGGAGATGGCCCAACTCCGTCGAGCACCCTTGGGAGAGACCACTGCTGAAATGCAGGCCAGATGGGCTAGAGAGGCCCATGACATGGCACGGCAAGTGCGGGCTTACTTGGAGCGTGAGGGCCGTGAGGGCCGTGAGGGCCGCGAGGGCCGTGAAGGTGCTGAGGACCGTGAGGGTGAGAACATCGAGGATGACGATGAGTTGCTGGCAGACATCTCCCGGACACTGGCCGATGCACGTGAGCGTGGTGCTCCGGTGCCGAATGCCGCAGTCTTTGTGGACCGTGCGGTGGCCCGAAGGCGCCAGGCACGAGCATTTCAGCAACGGATGGATCGAGAGGCCAGTGGTTTAGACCCGGAAATCGAGGATGCTTTTGCTGCGGCTGAGCAGTCTGTGACAGCTGCTGCAAGAGCACCGCGCAGACTGGGTGGCTCTCCTGGTGCCTGAGAGTGGAACAGAGGTGCCAAAAGACAAAAAGAGAGGCTGAGAGGCGAACTGCTGCCTTCAACTGTATAAGTCTTCAGTTGCAAAAGAAAAACATACAAAAACATACAAATGTGAACAAAACAAAAGATCAATCAGGTAGGCAGGATACTGACATCGATTTGGGACATCATAGCATTTGCACCCGTTTGATCATGTTTGCGCATTTGTTTAACGAACCCATTAACTAGTGGCGACATGTCACGGTGGAGTGAACCATCAATTCATGACACCAGAGGTTTACATGTTAGTTTCTTCAATTTCTTCACTTTGCACACTGCCACTTGCCGCATTTTTGGGGCGTAAAGCCAGTGGGGACGTGGCCAAGCTGTACAGGACCCGAGGCAGGGGACGTACTGTTGACAGCCGCCATAGCTGCTATAGGCATAGCTCGTTTCACCATTTTTTGTTCCGCGTCAGCCAAACTGTACCTAGATATACCTAGTATTTGACCCCCCAAACACGCAGCAAAACCAAAGCAGAAGATGGACTTTTGTATGTCGAGGTGATTTCGCGACCCACATGTGTTGCCTTACCAAGTGCCATCCGCCATGCGCTATGTGCCAGGCCCATGGTAGAATTTCGGAAACGTGCCAATACTTGGCACACAGATTCTTGCGGTATAGGGCCTGTGACCTCAGGCACGGTGGAATCAGGAACAAAAAGATATGAAAAGGGAACACACATGAACAAATGATTGCTGCTTGTGGACTTTTCTTGGGGCACGCAAGAACGCTGCATTCTGCACAATTCGGTTGATTTGGTCAGATCTTGCACCATTTTCAATTCATCTTCCACTTGATCTCCGGTCATATCCTGCTCAGATGTCCAGGCCCACGAATGCACCGCCGCCGCAGTGCGAGCACCTGCTCCAGCGGCGTGTTGGACCTCAAAGTGCCTCAGCTGTGGCGTAGTGAAAGAAAGCCAGGCGTTTTTCTTTGAGGCACTAAATCGAAAGGCTGCAAAGCTTTTGCTACCTTTTGGCAAGAATTGTGCGTCCATTGTGGGTGCAATTTCGAATGCTTCTTGCGGGCCTATGCCATGAGGAGAATCCACGTTCAGTGGAGATCAAATTTGGACTGAGCGATGGTTCTGCAAGCCACTTGGCCAAAGTTATAGGTGGAAGGGAGAACGTCATTCGGGAATGGTGTGGTCTTGTGATTTGAGAAGATTGCCAAGACAGTTTGGGCCTCGAGGCAGCAGGCCATATACATCCATATACATCCATATACATCCATCCATCCATCCATAGATAGATAGATGGCTAGATAGATACATAGATAGATACATAGCCATAACCATGACCATAACCATACCCATACCATACCCATACCCATACCCATACATCCATACATCCATACATCCATACATCCATACATCCATACATCCATACATCCATACATCCATACATCCATACATCCATACATCCATACATACATACATACATCCATACATATACATCCATACATAGATACATAGATAGATAGATAGATAGATACATACATACATACAGAGATACACAGATACACAGATACATAGATACATAGATACATACATAGATAGATAGATAGATAGATAGATAGATAGGTAATGATAGATAGATATATAGATAGGTAATGATAGATAGATAGATAGATAGATAGATAGATAGATAGATAGATAGATAGATAGATAGATAGATAGATCCATCCATCCATGCATCCATGCATCCATGCATCCATGCATCCATGCATCCATGCATCCATGCATCCATGCATCCATGCATCCATGCACGCATACACGCATACACGCATACACGCATACACGCATACACGCATACACGCATACACGCATACATAACATAACATAACGTTACGTTACGTTACGTTACATTACATTACATTACATTACGTACGGACGTACGTACGTACGTACATACATACATCCACGCACGCACACACGCACGCACGCACGCACGCACACACACACATATATATAATATTGAACTGTCGCAGCTTTTGGTCATGACGTTGACACATCTTCTTTGCACAAGGCGTGGAGGTTGATCAGCTTACCACGCTGGAGAAATTTCGCAGGTTCGTCGAGGTCTGGGTGAAGTTTTCCGATTTGGGGTCTTGTGGCGGCTTTTGAGTGTAGAATGAGTGCAAGAGTGTTCTCCCGTGTTTTCCCTGTACAGGTAGTGCAGGGGTGTGTGTAGGGTGGATTCGAGTGCATCATCTTGGGTCATTCCCATCCAGCCTTGAGGTGACAAAACCGTTCCCTCGTTGCTTTCGTTGCTCAGGAGGTGACCCAGATTCCGCGAAGAGCGCAACGGGTCGTGGTGAACAACACCGCCCTGCAAAGCCACTTGGTCATCTTAGTCATGAAGAAAACAATAGGAAACAGCTGAGCTCAGCTGTTCACTTGATACAATGTAATTGCAATGCGGTGGTTTGTCAAATGATTGTTACAAGATATTCCAAGAAACGATCTTTCCTAGAACAACCTATGATAATCTATGTCAATAGATTGTAAAGAGCTGGATGGGGAAAAAGATGCAAGTCAGTGAAAGGCAATGCAGGTCGATGAAGGACAACGAAGGTCGATAAAGATCACTGCTGTGAATACTTGGGAGTGCTGCCACAAGCCCCCCCTTTGCCTCCAGCCGTCACCACCTCAGTTAAGTGAATCTTCTTCAGCCATTGAAAACAGGTGATCAAGATCATTTGCTCCTGCTGCTTGGCCTGGCTATCTGGGTGCCTCGTGACAGAGCCAATGCGGGGTGGGCTGATGCGAAAACTCCAAGTATGACTACATGTGACATCATGTGACAAAGTTACATATGATAAATGATAAACACATATATTATATTTAAATAAATGAATCAATAAATAAATAAATGAGAAATGAATAAATAAATAAATATATATATATATCTCTCTCTCTCTCTCTCTTGTAATCTTACCTGAGATGGTGATGGCATTTGATGGAGAGTGAGGTGAACACGATCTGATCGATCTGTGCACCGAGGTACGACCTGGCACCAGAAATGTTCCACTCCGACACTGTTGACGTTCGAGTGTTGCGAAGGTGCTGTGACGCCCAGGCGGGGAGAATGATCATGGTCTGAGGCATGGACGATTCCCACACACCGACGTCAACATTTTTTGCGAGTTGCCGGGTTCCAAGAATTGTTAACGACCTGCACGACTAACCCGACTTTGTTCGGAGAGGAGCTTTATACATGCGCGCTACACACACACATATATATATTATATACACATCATTCACGCACACACACATTGCATTACATTTTTACATTTAATTTTACATTTTACAGTACATTGCATTATATTCATACACACACACACGGATAGACACATACACACGCACACAAACCTGCACACAGAGATAGATAGATATATATATATGGATAACTTCTGGATACACATGCATTTGTGTATATGCTAAGTACGTATTTTGATGAGTGTACGCAGGGCCGCTGCACACCTGGGAAACTAGGCGAAATGGCTGGATCTTCTGGAGCAGGGCGATGAAATCGCCCGTGCTGGACTTTTCTCAGGCACTGCTCAAATTGTGCGAAAACCATCAGGCATCTCAGGCATCTCAGGCATCTCAGGCATCTCAGGCATCTCAGGCATCTCAGGCATCTCAGACATCTCAGACATCTCTTTTATGTTTGTTTTCAGGTTTTTCGTGCAAGTGCAACCTCTCCTGTGCACATATTTTCGGTGAAGGTGTTGCTCGCGATCTTCAAGAACTTAGCGAGTACCGACGCATGGAGCGTTTTCGGAATGTGCTCCAAGAGCACATGATGAATGACGCTCACAGATATGCCTTCCATCGTGGCTTGCCTCGCCAAATCACAGGTTAGCCCGGTTCCTGCATCACCCATGGGATGGACATGACCTTGACTGAATTGATGTGTGCAAAAAAACCGAACAGAGTGAGATCAGTGAGCAGGTCATGTTCTTTCCATGTCTGTTATGGTCTGGTTTGGGGTTAAGGTTTGCGAGTCCATCTCCTACACGAGCGTTGCCCCTTTGGGCCTGGCGTTTGGTGCAGCGATGTCTGCCAATGGCTAGCAGAGGACACAGTTGTTCAGAGCGGTTGTGATGTAATTCAGATGTCTCCCAGCATCGAAACAGCATCGGTTATATATATATATATCTATTGAATGCTGTTGAATGGCCTGCAGGATGAGAATTTCTTGGAAATGGCTCTGGAGGTAAACACTCCGGCAGCTGAAGTACAAACTCCCATCCTGTCTCCGGGCTGAGGATTTGTCGATATGCCCCGCCCACCCATGGACCCAAAATGCATCCACGCATCACCAGATGGGTCTTTGCTCCAGACTGTTCGGTTTTTTGTTTGTGTGGGCTTCTTCAGCGTGTTTTTTTCTTGTGCATTTTTAAGCAGAATGATGCCGTTGGATCTACATGTGAGCTCCATTTGCAAACGGTTGCGCAACCTGGGCGTTATCATTGAGCTGAGGCTCTACGGCGCGAGAGAACAGATTCAAGCAAAACCACCTCTGGCAAAGAAGCTGGCGGGCCACCTGGCGAAATTGGTACTCGACCTTCATGGGTATAATATCCAAGAATCCAAGTCTGAAAATGACAAAATCACTCCACAGGGAAATGAACTGAAGGAATCAACAAGTTGAAACAGACTTTGAGAGTCCTTGCACCCTAGGCCTAGGCTTGATCACAGGAAGTGGTCCTTACACCCATGCAGATCCTTTGAACTTGTTTGTTTTGATCTTGTGTCTGTACTTTGAACAAGTCAGCCCGCTTCAGGCAATCCTCGTGTAGATCCATTAGTTTTAGCTGACGTGGCACCCCAGGCACGTCTCCTGGGGCTGTTGTTTGGGAAGCAGTTTCCTGCTTGGAGAGAATAGAATGAATGGAGATAATTGCTTGTGGGCCTGATAGCTGAAGGGTGAAAGGCTTCCATGTCATATGGCTTGTATTGGAAGTTTTGACATGTCTTGACGCAAGGAGAACTTGCCACAGGCAAATCCATGCCATTCCGATCCGTTGCAAGTGTTGCTTCGGAAGGTTCTTCAGGATCGCGAATTCTTGCTAATCTCAGCGAGAAGGCTTGGCAGATTTGTGACACAAAAATAAAAAAGATATGTGGGGCTGACCCAGGGCACCTTGTGAGCGAATTTGGCCAGAGAGGTGGTGATAGCTCAGATCTGCACCCTGTTCTCGACTCGTTTCAGTACAAAATGCATTCCACCCGTGTGGCATTTTAGCAGGGACCGCGTGGCATTCCATCTGATGACCACACATTTTTGGATTTGCGCGCCGCACTCCAACTTCCACTCGGCTCCTGTAATGGAAATCTTGAAAATGTATCAGATTGTTTGCATTTCATTGTCACCCCCAGACGACATCCAACCCTCTGAATTCAGCAAAGTCAATTGTCAGGTGCGGGGCAATTTTGCCCCTTGCGCCTGCGCGCCTGCAAGAGGAGCATTTTGCTGCTGCAAAATGCCGCAAAGCCAAACAACCCTGATAGACTCTAGACCTCACCACCTGTGTCAATTTTGCATAATTTTGCATAATTTTGCTAAGACATGCTAAGACCAGCTGGAAATGATATACTAGAAACTGCTCAATGCAGAGCCACATGATCCGTGCTATCATGTCATGATGCGCGTTGGTGAATTTAGCTGCGCAACATTTGAACCGCTGGATCCCTCTTGCAGGACTTGGAGCTGGTTGAGACCTGTGTGTCCCAGCAAGGCAGTGCTTTGAGGCTGGGGCTTTTGATTTGAAGCTGCCAACCGAGTGCGCAAAAACATCAAATGACTATGCGTAGCTTAGCATCGCCAAGCTTCTCTGGCCATAGCCTCCCCTCGGACGCAGTTAGGCCATAGTCTTGCTCCTTTTGCTACTTGTGCGAGCCAAGTCCTGCTGACGGTCGCAACCAGATTTCAGGTTTGTGCTGCCAACCCTCCGAGAAAATAAAGATATAGCTACTTGGCTGGGCAGATGTCGAGGTTTGGACAGTTTCGCTTCCAATTCGCAACACACTTCTAGGACAAACCGGCAACATCGCCAGAGACCCGACACTGCTGCAAGTTCTCTTGCTGCAAGCCCCATCCAAGATCCACCTCGCATCCTGCATCTCCACTTCTCAATGCTCCAAAGCATGAGCACAGGACGCCGCAGCTGACTGAATCTGGCCATGTGACGATTTGAGGTGCTCAAGGCTGTGAGTTCCAGCGGCTTGGCGTTGGAGCACGCCAACGAGAAGCTCCGTGACGACGAGGAGGTGGTGCTCCGAGCCGTGCAGGGTGCTGGACTGGCGCTGGAGTTTGCTTCCGAGAGGCAGGGCGACGGATGGCCGAGAGAGTTCAAGATGTTCAAGGGAGATCACGGGTCACCAGGTGAGGCTCAGGGGTGGATGGAGAATGATGGGATAAGACTTTGGAGAAGTCCAGCACTTGAAACAAGTTTCACAGCCTTTGTAGTATGCCTAAGCCGTGCCCGACAGGTTGCGCGCTGTGCGGCGGATTGTTCAGGTAGCAGTCAGCCAGGATGGATGCGCAATTCAGCCTCTTGTTTGATGCATTGATGTGTGCTGGGAGGCAGGAGACCGCACTCAATCCGGAAGCGACATCCTCTCTGGAACAAGCCCTATTCCTTTGCAGTGATGCATATGTGGATTATGTGGCTGAGGTATGCAGCAACAGAATTGAGGGACAACGATGAGGTGGTGAAATCCGCAGTACAGGTTTCAGGAGCCGGGATGGTCAATTCATAGTGCAATTTAGTGTAATGAGTTGTAAATTATATAATGAACATCATCGTCGTCGTCGTCGTCGTCGATCTCCTCCTCCTCCTCCTCCTCATCCTCGTCCTCGTCCTCATCCTCCTCCTCCTCCTCATCATCATCATCATCATGATCATGGCCTCTGTATTTTGTCAGCGTCTCATCCACAGTAACCACATGACATGAATGTGGCACTTATGTTCAAGAAAAATGTGATGTTTGGATCCTGGCAGGAACCAACAGAACAAAAAACATGCGTGCTCGGCACTTTGGCTTTCATCACCTACTATCAACTGCACACCTCTTGTTCCCCCCACTAGCTCTCAAGTGAAAGATGTCATTTGCAGTGGTTTACACCCTGCATCACGAGGACAAGCGCTGAAGCATGTCTCTCCTCGATTGCGCAATGTGCAGGAGGTGAGTGGGTGTCCATTTGCTTGGCATTGGATGAACTTTATTAAGAGCTACCAGCTACTATGTGCTTCCGATGTCAGAGGTAGAGACGCCTTCCGTCAAAGCAAAACCGCTTTAAAGACTCTATTGCAACCCTATTCCCCGGCGGGTTGCCTACCACTCGGGGAGAGACTGGTTCCACTTCATTCCTGTTGGTGCCCAGGTGGTCGTGCTGGCAGCAAGAAAACACCCGCAAGCCCTGCAATATGCGTCGCAACTTGGACTGCTTCACTTTAGTTGAGCTGTTGCCGTGGAATGTCGTGGGCATTTTGAAATATATAGTACGACACTTAGTATGATGCTTAGTATGACACTTACTATTTAGATCTATTTATATAGTATGTTTTTTTTTTTGAGTTGTCACAGTGAGTTACAAGTGGAATGTCATGGAATGCCATGAGGATTTCTAAGGCCGGAGCTGCGCTCAGATCGCGCCACTGTCATCGACGCGGTGTCTGCCTCTTTCAAGGCTGGCAAGGGACATCACAGTAACAGCGGCGAGACCATCGGGCACTATGCATAATTTGATGAACAGTAATCTGTGTATACTGTGTGCATGTATATTACTGTGTGCATACATATGTAATGTATTATATATATAATGTTGTACTATTTGCCAATTTGCCAGGCATTTGAGTTTGCTGGCCCGGAGCTGCGGGCAGATCCTGAGGCGCGGCGGAAAGCCGGGTTCGGAAATGACTCGAGGTCTGCGTGCCTTCGTCAGGTGATCCGCCTCGCGGCACGGCAGCTGCTCTCGACGAATGGCCTGCAGGTGTCGAATGAAGAGCCGGTGCCCCAGGACCGAAGATTCTCAGATTCTCCTGTAGGATGAAGGATGAAGGTGATGTGATTGGGTATTGATTTCAGTTTATAATTGGGCTAAAGAAAGATGCATCATTGAATCTCAAAGTATGGTCGCGTCTCCGCGGACTTCCTGAAGCGACGTGAGCCCGTCCTTGTTGTGAATTTGGCTCTGAGGCTGCCGGAGGCAATAGATGCTGGAAGTTACAAGCGTGGCAAGGGGGAGGGGTTTGGGTCCAGGAGATACCCAATTTGACAAATGAAGAGGATGTCAATAGATTCCGCACATTTGTGCAGCCTGTCCTGGGCTAGTTGCACCAGGATTTGTTTGATTTGTTCATCGAGCCAAGGAGAAGAACGTCCTACTGGTCTCCAAAGAATCGGGCCAACAACTTTTGGCCGCACTGCAGACAGGGCTTTTGACAACGCGTGCGTTTGGAGCCTTGGCTGAGCTCTCCGACCAAGCTTGAGCGTTGACATGGCTGAAGCATAGTGAAGCCGCCAGATGCCAGATGGTTTAAAGTTTCAAGATCCTTGCGGCTGAGGATTGGCAGTTGTCAAACATGACCCGCAGCTGTATCGGAAACTCGAGGTTGGGAAGAACATTGGAAGAACTTGTGCTGGTCTTTTCTTGTTTCTTTTATTTTATCAGCGCATCACTTGCTGGACCCTTTTGCTGGACTTCTCCTGCAACTAAAGTGCTTTGTAGAAGTTTACACAATTTTACACATATATCAGGTTATCACCTGATCTCCTTGACCGATGCCGATAACGCATACACAAAATAGGCTTACATAGACATCAGAAACATACATAGAGGCTATCTATGCTTGATACATGCTTCTGCCATCTTATCCATATTGTCGGCAAAAGTGTGTGTGTAGATGTGTGTAATTATATGTGTGCCTTCTTTTACAACGCATCTACCAATGAGCCGCTTCGAACCGGGCAGTGCAGGAGCATGTGAAGGCTGATGCAGAGGTGTCCCTGGAAGCCGTGCGGCGGGTACCAGAGCTGCATCTCGGCAACGGAACCAGTCTTGTCACTCTGACATTGAATGCAGCATATTGCAGCATGAATGTTTGGGCTGTTTGGGATTCACTCAGGTTTTTGGACATTCCGTTTCCTATGCGCAACAAGCTAGCTATTCAAGTGGCGGCTGTTGCCCAGAGAGCAGCCCCTTGGCCGCTTTCAAAGATTGTGATCCTTGTAGCTTTTCATGTGGCTTGAGAACAGTGCCTTGTCACTTATCTCTCGGGTGGTTTCCAAGTCGGTTTCATGCGGATTTAGGAGATGGTCAGCTTCGTTTTGCCCACTGATGACTCTTGGCACACAACCAGGTTCGTCGGACTTGGTAGGATGTTTGCTGAAGGTCGAGAACAATTTTGTACACGTGCACATATGACGCGGTCCCTGGTCCTGCTAGTAGGGGCCCAGTGCAATACTTATAAGATTCTACTGAGCAAAAATTGACCCCAAACTAAAGTTTACTAGCTATTGCAATTGCTTCCGGTTCATGTGTGCGCACAAATAACGCCTCGGCACCTTTGGTGCGGGCGGATCTGTATATGAAAATATTGTTCTCAGGACGATTGTTTGTCAGTTGTAAGCAGCTAGCACGTTTTAGACATGGCCTCAACCCACCTTCAAAAGCACACAGATGTTTCTTTCCTCGAGTGCATTACGAGTGTTTGCACATGTCAGTTCTATCGTTGTGTGCAGGGTATACATCGGTTGGTGACCAGCCCTGAGGTAAAACGAGTTCTTGCCGCTGTGGAGCAGGAGTGATGTCGCGGTGCCAGTGGTCACAGTCCCCGCGGGCACCACGTGGTCACTTTTCCCCTTCCCATTCTCCCATCCTCCCATCCTCCCATCCTTCCCTTCCCGTCTCTAGAAGTTACTTTATGTTCCCAGGAGAAGGCCCTGGCAAAGTCGGCGGCCTGCTAGGCTGGTGCCGGAGGCTGGATCGTAGGGAACCAAGCCGTTCGTTTCAGTTTTCGAAATGCTTTCTTCATGTTTCTTAAACCGAAAGTTTCAAAATGGTTTGAGATGGTTTAAGTATGCTTCCGTGTTTGGAACAAATTTCCACAACCAGGGGTCGTCATTCCTCCAAAATCGCTTCACAAGCAAAATTGATCTTGGAAATGGCGCTAGCGTCAGAGAATGAAACAACAAAAGGATAGAAGGACTATGATGTGAGTACACTGAACACAGCGAATTGGCCTCACTGGCGGTCTGTGGGGCAGACCATGACATTCTGAGGCACCTGCACCTGTGGGGCTCTGCCTTTCCGGCATTGTGACGAAGCCAAATGGTGCAGAGACTCTTCAAGCGGCGCCGGAAGTGAGTAGAAAGTAGGCACTAAATCTGGTCAGAAGTAAGGCACAAAACTGCATAACTGCATCACACCAAAAAAAAACAGAAGAGACACCCACTCTTACACTTGAAACATCTTGAAACAGTCCTAGGATGAAGCCCTGAAGATGATTTCAGGCTCTTAGAGACAATTTTTTGGGCCAGTAAGAACTGCCAGACTCTCTGGAGGCCTAGCGCTGGAGTATTCCAAGGCTGCTCCTTGCCCTGGGTTTCCAGACAGTTTTTGGCGGCAAAGAACTTAGACCCTTTCAGCAACGTCCAGGTGGTTGGAGCAATTGGACCCCAACGATTTTCCGGTATTGGCCATTCGGCCATTCATTTTTTTCGAAAATTGGAAGGGTTGCTGAAAGTGGTGCGCTGTGCTGCGTTGGTTTCAGTGCCAATCAGTGGGTCTCCGCCGGTCTGTCGGCACCCCCAAACCCGTCAAAGCAGCTGAAGACATTTGGGAAGGGCGCCGGGAGGCCCACTGCATGGTGTGATTTTCCAAGAGGAGAGTGCCCACGTCACATGCAAAGCTGCTAAGCCTAAGCCTGACTCAAAACCTGCAGCATTGAGCTGCAGTAAACGTGAAATGCTAAGTTCAGACCTACAACACTGATGGAGCAAGTTGGAGATAAATGCATTTACGTGCGGATGTCTCCATCTTGACCAATCCGATGCTAGCTTCACACCAGTTGCCAGCTGGCTAGCACAGGACTAGCGTGTATTGTGAGTTCTTGAAGGTTTTTCAGATGCGGTGGCCTTTTCAAGAATCATCTTGAGTTGTTCAAGGCACCACATTAAACCCCAAAATTGGTTTCGATGGACAATCAACCTTGTACGATCTGGCATTATTAGGATTCGTTGTTGTGAATTTTCCACGAATTTCCGGTGTGTATAACACTTGAAAATATGAGCCTTGTAGAACTTTGCAGGCCAAGCATTTGTCGCGACCTTATCAAAAGATTGGCCCAGCTTCACAAATGAGCGCTGTGCTTTGTTCAGAGTAGACTGAGTAAACCCACAAGTTCCACAGGACATCGACTTAAGCAAGCAGGGATTGCAGTGATTTGTTCCTGTTTCCGCAGGAGCACAGCCAGTGGCTGTTGGGCCAGAAGTTGGTTTAAAGTAGGATTCGTCTTCTCACGCTCCAGTGGGAAACAGGACGGCCGCATCACAGCGCGTTGAACCGCATGACCCCGAGACATTCTTTCAGGCTGGTCTTGTGGAGACTGGAGCGTGGGGGATTGCAGCCAACAGCTCGACCAAAAAAGGTGCTGATGTGGTTTCAGGGGGGGACATCGTTTCGGGCTTGACATCTCCCGAGCCAAAGTGGCAATTTTCCAGCTTAACTGAGGTCTCAAGGACACCCCAACTGGCTTTGAGGCAGATTGTGAAGCTGCAGGCGGCGGGCAAAAAGGTTTTCTACTCTTTGAAAACGCAGACAATGCGGAGCTCTTCGTTTCAAAGCGATTCGCACCTCAATCTGATGTGCATATAGAGATAGATAGATTAGATTAGATTAGATTAGATTGGATTAGGTTAGATTAGATTAGATTAGATTAGATAGATAGATAGATAGATAGACTCTCTCTCTCTCTCTATATACACGTTTTTTTCTGCGTCAGTTTGGACGGTAGGCTGCAAATTGTTTCCCTTCTGCTCTCCAGCTTTTTGATCCTTTTCTTACCTTGGATAATTTGTGTTTTCGATCTTCTCGTCGCCCTGATGATGGCACAGCTGTAGAGCAGTTGACGTCGAAGGACGTCAGATCTGCCAGCGCTGAATTCCAATGACAAAAAGACGTTTTTCACACCGTTCCCATCTCTCTCACACACACAGTGACATACACAAATCATCATCACACATTGCAACCCTTACACGCACACAACTGGACCACTTAAAAGTTCCTGACCATCGACGCTCGCCATGCATGGCAAAGTGGTATGATGCAGATCATGAGCCCCTTGGTCAGATGCTACGTGAATGAGATTGAATGAGCTTTGAATTTATTGGTGGTTGAGCCCTATGTCACTGTCAATATATGATACAGTCAAATCTGCCAACAAAACCTGTTTGTTTCAGGATATCTTTATTTTGAGAAACGCACGATTTTGCATGTGACTGCATTGCACTGTGTTAACCCTGAATAGTTGTCATCACCCATAGCTTACCCATCGTCCTATAAGCATCTACACGGTGCTACAAATAATTAGATCTTTGCCATGACTTCATCATTCTCCAGCGCGTACATTTGGAGAATGGTTCTGAGGTTAAACTACGTAGAAAGTTTGGCCAGGTGCTGAGGACTTGAAACCTTTCGAGGCGTTCAAGGAATGGCTGGCCAAACGTGTGTCTGATCATCTCGTTGACAATGTTGACACATTAACTTCATTAACTAAATTTAACTAACAAATCTTACCAAAAACATCGTAGGACGTAGGACTACAGAAGGGAAGATCTTCCCCTTCTCACAGAAATCGCATGGTGTGGGGAGGGGAGTGCTGGGCACCTTAAAACAGCGCCCCGAGGCTTTCCATGTGGGTTGATCGGTTGATCCTTTCATTTGGCAAACTCCTTTCGCCTCTCAACAATCTCAACAGCTGCCGTCTCATGTCGCTTCAGGTCTTAGTGACCATCGTCTTCCTGGAGCTTCTGTTTCTCAACTTAAGATGATGGCACGAACAGTCCTTGTGGGTGGCATTGTTGAAGCTGCTGTGATTTGCTGCTTAAGCAGGTGGTGCCAGCTATTGCAGCACTCAATGGGATGCACATTTTGACCCATGGCTTTGCAGCTGAAACCATGACTTTTGCATTCAGAAGCTATAGAACAACTCTGCAGTCTCCGGCGACAAGGTTTGATAGCTCTTGGCATTATTTGTCCCAACCGGTTCCTTGGCCACGTTGGCTCCCACAGCTCTTTGTCTACTTGAAGAGAGAAACGCTTTTGGTGTGCCCAAGAGAATGGGATCATGGTCGCAAGCCTTGCCCAAGGCGGGGAAGTCTTATCGCTATGGCGACAAGCATGAGGAAGCCTACGAAAAAACAGAGAATCCTGGCAGAATTTGGCCGCTTTGCCTCTTGGGCTAGAATCGGCTACAGTGGCGTTTGTCAACTCTAACTTTTTATTTTTAAATAGATATGTATATACAGTAATTGGAATTGCATTCCAACGGGTTTTGATGGTCCCACAGGCCCTTGACTCCAATGTGGTGTGCCGAGGGCTGCAGTATTGATTCGCCCACCGCAGCATGTTCAGCTCTACAAGGACCTATTTGGGATGCCCCCAGTGGGAAAGCCTCCCATGCCTTAAAGCTCTTCCCAGGAGCTTGTGAACAAAATGGGTGGAGAATTTATGTCGTTGGGCTTCATTGCCTTCATGGTTTTTTGCTGCTCAGCTGGAAGTCAGGAAAGCTGCTAGAGCTTCTGCTAGAGCTTCTGCTAGCTAAAGTTGCTTTTGCTCAGGCATGCTTTAGCAGGTTTGCGGAGCCAATTGCATGAAAGTTTGGCCAGACCTGCCAGATGTTTGCAACATTTTTTGCAACAGCAACGAGCACAACCACAGAAGGCAAAGTAAAGCCGTGCAAATAGCAGACAAACAGATACAAAAAGTATCAAAAAGTAGCTCCACAGTCCACAGTTACGGTTTGGGTGGAGGTGTGTTTGGTGCCCTTCCGGTCAGTCTGCAGCGCCACATGCAGATACCACAGGTACTGTCCAATCCACACTAGTAGTCCAATTAATTGAGATCAAACAAATAAATGTTAGACATACATACATACATTACATTACATTACATTGCATTACATTTCATTACATTACATTACATTACATACATTACATTACATACATACATTACATACACTACATACATACATACATACATACATACAGACAGACAGACAGACAGACAGACAGACAGACAGACATACATACATACATACCGATACATACCGATACATACCGATACATACCGATACATACCGATACATACCGATACATACCGATACATACCGATACATACATACGTACGTACGTACGTACGTACATACATCACATGACATGACATGACATGACATGACATGACATCAATGCATGCATACATACATACATACATGCACATACATGCACATACATGCACATACATACACATACATACACATACATACACATACATACATACACATACATACACATACACACACATACATACACATACATACAGATACATACAAATATACATATACATAGATATACATAGATATACATACAGATACACACATATACACACATATACACACATATACATACATATACATACATATACATACATATACATATACATATACATATACATATACATACATACATACATACATATACATACATACACATACATACATATACATTTACATACATATACATACATATACATACGTATACATACATATACAGTCATATACATACATATACATACATATACATATACATACATATACAGTCATATACATACATATACATAAATCTACATACACATACATATACATACATATACATACATATACTTACACATACATACATATACAGGCATATACATACATATACATACATATGCATACATATACATACATACACAGTCATATACATACACATACATACATATACATACATCTACATACATATACATGCATATGCATATACATACATACATATGCATATACATACATACATATACATACATATATACATATATGTACATATACATACATATACATACACATACATACATATACATACAGATACATACAAATGCATACAGATACATATACATACATATACATACATATACATACATACACATACACATACATACACATACATACACATACATACACATACATACAGATACATACAAATGCATACAGATACATATACATACATATACATACATATACATACACATACATACACATACATACACATACATACACATACACACACACATACATACACATACATACACATACATACAGATACATACAAATGCATACAGATACATATACATACATATACGTACATATACATACATATACATACATATACACACATATACGTACATATACACACATATACATACATATACATACATATACATACATATACATACATATACATACATATACATACATATACATACATATACATACTGTTAAAGGGAACAAAGCGCTAGCACATGAATCAATGTACATTGATATGCCCTTGTGGCTCAAGCGCCCATTGAAAGGAAAACGGCCGCGCGTTGCTTGTGATGCCTTGGTAGAGTTCGGCAACCCCCAGCACTTTAGGTACTACCAGTCAACGATATCCAGAACAAGGATAGAATTGTTCACAGGTTATCAGCCGTAGGGCTCACTTCTCCCGTCGGGAGAGTAGTACCTGCGTGCTGGTAGCCGGGCTGTCTGAGCAATTGATTGTGGACGCAAAGGACCAATCAGCTCATCATCGCAAAGATGCAAGGCGGCAGCGGAGATTCGCGCACCACGCAGTTTACCTTCAATGAGAATACCGCTATGCCGGTCGAGGAGGTCAATCAATCTTCCCCTGGCGACACGGCAGACAGTGGTGGGATACGCCCTACCCGAACTACACAGTCCGGATGGCAAGTTACATCAAACAGACGAAGAATATCCGCCCAAAGTACACCAAGATCTTCTCGAAACAGTGCTCGAAGTGATGTTGTCCGCCAAGGGCATCGACCATCTCGAGGACGAACTACCCCAAGGGACAGATCCACCAGGGCCGTAACCAACCGAATTGGTGAGAGGACCGGGGATAGTCGTGTTAAGAGGAGATCAACGGATACTTCTGTGGCTAGTGAACCTATTGCCATGATAGAAGAACTACGGGCACAGTGTCAATCCCTACGTAATCAGTTGAACCACATGGAAGCATACGCTGCATCTAGAGATCAACTGATTCATGACATCGAGATCAGATTCACTGAGTATCTTCAGGAACACAACCAGAATGTATTTGATGAGGTCAATGCACTCAATCATAGATTGTCATGTTCCGCAAATGAGGTTGCAGAATATCAAGCAGAACTAGTGGTAGCATCTCAGGAAGACGAAGGTGCAACAATACGCATCCAAGACCTTGAACGCCGAGGTGCCCTAATGGAACATGGTGCAAGACGGATCCATCAACGTGGTATGGAGATCCAGGAAGAGTACAAGGATGAAGTACATCACCTTCAAGGACTATTGGGTAATACGGAGGCAAGACTGCAACAACTTCATCAAACCAATGTCTTAACCACCGATATTGCCAATCGACTATACGACGAAGGTCAAGAAATGCAGACAGATTTCCAGAACTCAATCATGGAATATCGTAACCGATCCGAAATGGCATCCTTCTCCAGCAATCAACTTGAAGTGATAAGCCAACAACAATTAATTGCAGTTCATGAGTTATCTGAACGGAATCAGCTATTGAGTGAAGCTTTAGTTCAGTCTCGTAAACAGGCCGAGCTGTATGAAAGCAGTATTGACGAGATCACGAGAGAATCTAGGAAGAAGGTTTTCGAGGCAAATCAGGCCAAATTGGAAAGTGATCTGAAGCATCGAAATACTGAACATGATACTGTCAGAAGAATTGCATCATACAGGAACCATGAGGCCGAAGCGATATCACACCTGAGGCTTGAATCACAGGCTAGTGCGAATTCGATCGCAAGGGCGGAGCACTATGAAGAGCTCTACGCCAATGAGCAGGAGATGAACTGTGAATTGAAGGATGAGATCAAATTGCAGAACATGAAGCTGCGAAGATCATTGACTCAGGGCACTACGACCGACGGTCGTGGCCCCGATGAGATGCTTGTTGAAGATCTACGTAATCAAGCCAAAATCGCTCAAATCAGGGTTCAGGATCTAGATCATGAAGTTCATGAATGTTTACAAGAGAACATGTTGTTAAAAGAGAGATTCGCTGAAGTTGCGGATGTAGGGGCGTCGTCCTTCTCCAATGCTGAAGTCCGAACTTTAAGATCTGAACTAGAAAGTGAGCGCAAAATGAAATTGGCTAGTGGTGTTCAACAATATGAGAGATCATGCATGTTCATGGGGGAAATTCAGGATAGGGATGAAAAGATTGGTATCAAGAATTCTGAGATTGTTGACATGAAACGTCACCTAGATGAACTAAGAAAGAGTCTCAAAGATTCTGAAACATCTATGTCTAGGGTCAGCCCTGATACACTTCCCTATTCGGCAGGCATCCCCAACTATGATCTCGCGTCAAGACTGGTCATTGACAAACTGGAGAATGAGGTGAGTGAGGCTAACTCTGAGAGCGCTATCCTAAAATCTTGGGTAACGCAGATCGACAAGGAGTTGACCTACGAGACGAATGTTGCTCAATCTTATCGCGGACATGCTGGACATTCTCAACAGCAATCCTCTCAATCGAACAAAAGAATCACCGATCTGCTGAAAGAAGTTGACAACAAGATCGCCGATGGAACTGAGAAGGACTATTACAAGCCTCCGAGCGGATGGGGCGGTCCGCCTGACCCTGATGGACCTCCTGACCCTTTCGGGCCCAACGGTCCAGGACCACCTCCAGAACCTCCTGGTTTGCCTTCAGTTCGAGGATCACAACGTGATTCAGCAGATGACATCTCCACAGCAGCGTACACGGCAGAAGAAGTACCGAGAATGTCAAGACGGGAGGCTGACAAAGTCTACGTTAGTCCATGGCCGAAGCAACAGAACCTTGGGGTTTGGCAATCAGATCTCATCAAGAGTGTTGTTCTTGCTGCGAATGATGGAGACAAAGCTGCGTGGGAAGCATGGTTACAACCGGCTATTCGACCAAATCCTGACATTGAGCTATTGAATGACAGTGGAGGGCAACGATATCAATCAATAGACGCCAAGTTGTCAATTGCATTGTCAAACGTTATAGCCCAAGCCGGTGATGTTGCTCGTCACGTAGCAATCAAACTGAGATTGAGAACACAGAGTCATAGCCGAAGAGGAACCTATGTCATGGGACGAGAAATCTTGGCTATGATCCTGGAACACTTCAGGACCCTAGGTCAACGGGAGACAGCCTTCACCATGGAGCACATCGTATCGATGAAATATCTCGGTGACTCAAACCTGGAAGTGTTCTATGAGAAATGGATGGAGATGGTATCAAATATGATGCCGGATGATGTACCTCCTGATGATTGGCTTCGTGATGCTCTATACAAGAAGATTCGAAATTCGAGTCTTATGATGTTTGACATCAAGCAGTACGAGTCATGGATTGAAGGAGACCAAAGACGAAGCTATCGCTACCTGTTGGACGTCATCGAAAGGCACATCTCCAGAATTAG